GGCAGCATCCATCCATTTTCTCTCACTTTATCCTGGGCTGTGTTGTGGAGGCAGCAGTCTAAGTAGAGAAGCCCAGACTTCTCTCTCCATACACACTTCCTCTGGCTCTTCCGGTGGGATCCAGAGGCGTTCCCAGGCCAGCCCAGAGACATAGGCCCGTCAGTGTGTTCTGGATCTTCCCCGGGACCCTAGGAGCAGCAACTCTAATCAGAGCTCCTTGTGACTTAGCTCCTCACCCTGTCTGTAAGGAAATGCCCAGCCACCCTGCGGAGGAAACTCACTTTGACCGCTCGTATCCATGATCTTGTCTTTTCTGTCATTACCCAAAGCTCATGACCAATGGTGAGAGTAGGAACGTATAGAGAAAAAGGAAAATCAAGAGCGCTGCCTTTCAACTGAGCTCCAGCAAAGACCAAAGAGAACACCAGCATACATTGAGAAAATCACAAGAGTTTGATGGACAGAGCTCATTTCCTTACCATTTCCAAACCTTTATACAATAAATTAAACAGACATCTTCCTTCTAAGGAACCAGTTCTTCCAGGCCGGTCAAATGTTTCACAGTTTCTCATTAAACTTATCTTTCACTTATTGACAGGAGTTTTAATTGCCCTAAGATACCCTAAAATAGTACATGCATATTTATTGAGTAGGGTAAACTCTCTATAAACCTTACCCGGAAATTATTGTGTTTCCTCTTGACTGATGATGAATGGGGTGAATTTAATACCTTACTGTGGGATATTCCAAGTAAAGCAAATGTTCCATACTGCACTTTTAATGAAATAAATGTACACATAATTTATTAGTCAAGATAAGCTTTAAAAAATCTAACCAGTGGGGATATTACTCCTTTGTTGGTGAAGAGTAAATAAAAGCTGTTGAATTTGATGGTGTGAACTCTGATCTTATTGACGGCAGTAAATCAAGGTGTTGGAAGCAGCGATGCTAAATGTCCAGCAGAGAAGAATAGCCACTTCCTGGTGCAATCATATTTACCTCATTTGGCTTTCCCCTCAGTGACCTTGAAGGGCACAATGTAGCAACTGTGTGAGAGGTTAATGTGGAACAAGAATCTTCTGAAGAGTAAAACATGTGTATTACATTGTACAGGTGTTTCTGAAACCTTCTGAAAGTTCATCATGCACCACTGATGATTGTCGGCTAATCTGTTGTGTGAGAAGATTTGATTTGGTTACAAAACTCATTTGAACTTGCAACTAAAAATGAAAGCAACAAAGAAGAAACAACCTTCCTTTGCACAAGTACTGATTCTTATTTTTGTTTTTACCATTTATTAAATAAATTTCTAATTTGAAAATCAGTCCATAAAGTGCACTCACATTGCTTTTGTACTCACGTTCAAATTTTACTCTTCACTGCCTCCAAGTGGTGGTGGCGTGTAATTACAGAGAAAAAGGTTGCTATTCAAAAAAAAAAAAAAAAAAAAAAAAAGGTGACATTGTCAGACTGGAAGATGTTTTCTAGATCTACGAATTAGATTATTATTTAATATATTAACTAGTGTAGTTGCTTTAACACTTTTATAGCTGATAAAAATACAAACGTGTATATTTTTCAAAACTACAAAACTAGCCTTGTTGTGGTATTTCTGCAAACCCATATACTCTGTGGAGTCTTTTTGCTCCATCATTATACTGTTCAAAATGTATAATTTTCTGTAGAAGGTAATGTGCTATTAATCCCACTAGATGTCGCCAGAGTTCACTTCATCGCCACTCAGAGAACGGTTCCCCTCCCCCTTGAGAGAAGTTCAAGAGGTGAAGATTTGATTTATTCATTGCAAGTTTATTTACAATGGATCAAAGAAAAAAATATACACGCCTAAATTTCCTTAGTCTAATTCCTCTGCAGCTGGCCACTACAATTGCTGAACCATTTTTTTTTTTCTATTTACTGCTTTACAGTGTTGATTTGCTAAATCGTGGCCCACCAGCGTTTTGTCCATCTATGTTATGCTGAAAACGATTTTGTTCCATGCACTCACTTTGCGCATTACGCACATACCCACCGGGGGAACCAAAGCCGGGCCCTCCTCTCTTTCCCAGCCTGCAAAGCGGTACGTGGGAACGGGCTTAGAAACTTGCGCTCCGTAAACGCGAGGCTATTTTTACCGCTCTGAGCTCAAACCGAGGCCCGGTCCCTGGAGACCTGTTGCCGGCAGCGCTCCCCAAACAGGCCGCGGAATTTAACCCGGGACAGCTCAATCCCCACACGTGATGGAAAACATCTGGAGCAGCTACAAGGCGCAAATGTCCGCTGATAAATGAAACCAACGAGGCGCAAACGAGAAGGAATGTGTGTGATGTGACTGTGAATTTACAAAATGTGTCCTTTATTTACTGTTAATGTAAAGAGATATGCAAAAGTTCCCACAGGGCATTGAAAACCTGAGTTGATTACACAAATGGGTCCACTGGGAAGAATTTATTCCCTGGACAAACGTGCAATTGGTCCAATTAGTTTATAGATTGGGAAGGAAAGGCTTGAAAACTCAAATAGCAAAAAAAAAAAAAAAAGAGAAAGTATAAAAGTGCATTGCCATGTAACTTTTCTGTTGTCTTGGAAGCTTGTCTGCATGCATATGTTATGGGTTTGTCTTGAATGTTCCACTGTATGGCATTATATGTTCAAGGATAGAAACAAGCAGGTGATGCCATCAGGCCGCGAAGAGTTAATTCTGGCTCAAAGTAAGAATGTATGTTTTTCAAATTTCAAATTTCTCTTCTCTCTCCATGTAGACATAGCCAGGCTGGCGCCACCTAGTGCCTCCACGCAATTTCATTTCTCTCCAGCAACTAGGTCAGGAATTAGAATACACTAGAATCTAGTGTATTCCATCTAGTGACTAGATGGTTTGCAAAAACCCTGGAAGTGCAAGTTCGGGCACCATTCAGTGTTGGCAATGATTCCCGAGATCGAGGATTTAAAGCCGGAACAAAGAGAATGTTTGGTGAATTTTATCAAGGGGAAAGACGTTATTGTCCTTCTTCCTACGGGATTTGGGAAAAAGATTAATATACCAGTTAGCCCCGTTAGCAGCGATTGGTTAAATAAAAAAAAAAGTACCCAACTACCGCCAAGCGAACAAATTCTAATGCTGCGAGGACAGTTTTTTCGAAGTGAAACCACTGATGAATCAGGCTAATGTAGACAAGCCTCTCACCAGAAAAGTTAGTCTATGCCCTTAGAACAGACATGACTTTTCTAATCTATGAACTAAATAGTCTATAGTTTACATAACTTTTAAATGTAAATCAGTGTCCGTAAATGAACCCTATCATAACTGCACAGCATATTTGGAGACTATAAGAAGAGAGACTTTTCACATCAATATATTTATTACATATTTAATTTAAAAAAGATTACTTGTAAATGTTACACTGAGTTCTACTGAAACAAGTCCATATCTGTCTTCAGCACAGGTTAACATTAGGCACACGAGAATGCAGACATCTTTGCAACTGCAGCACTTTCTCAAATACACAAGAAGAGATAGGAAAGAGAAATGGTCATTCTTAGCAAAAAACTGCAACTGTGCAGAGCTGTGGTACAAATATTCAAAAGTAGCATTCAGAAAGTAGTTTTTTTTTTTGTTTTTTTTTTTATCAAAGTGACTTGAAAACAAAACCCATTTAAAACCCTTTATACCTAATTTGACTGTGTTGATCCCTCGCCAAAAATGTTTTAGCAAAATGTAAATCTAAAATTGTTTGCCAATTGCACAAGAGCATTACTGGCAATAGATCATTATTGCTGGTGTTGCAATACTTATTTTAACTTAGAGCAGTTTCAATTCCATCTCAAATTGTGTTCTTTTTTAGTAAAATATCCCAAAATCAACACCCAATTTCAAGAATGTTTTGAAATGTACACTTTATCATATCCCATTTTTTCTCAGATGTACAAATCTGAAGTTGAAAACACTACAATTTCATCAAAAATCACCTGAATGATAACATATTTTGGCTTTTGCTTTGTATAAAGGTGCATTGTGTAACTCATGGTGGAGGGTCCATTAAATGCTTTTCCATGGAGGTTATTGCTTTGTCTGGAATGTTTCACAATATGGCATTAAACCTTTCTTTGTTCACATAGACCAAACCAAACCAAGTCATAGGTTAGATCTGTGGAGAGGCAATCCTGCTCACAGTCAGCTTGACAGATTTTCTAGGTAATTTTGAGCTATAAAACCACCTGTAATAGAATACATATACCAGTAAAGTAGAGTAGTTTAAAGGGACAGTTTGGAATTTTAGACATAGGGCCTCATTTCCTAGTGCGCCAGAGTGCTGTAGATGCGTGGAGACACTTTTTGAAATAATCCATTCAGTCCTTGTATTTGTAGAGGTCACTGGTGCTAGGCTAGTGCAAGTCAATGGCCATAGTTAGCCTGCCACTAAAAACAGTCTTACCCACTCCACAAAACACCCAAGGCAAATCTATTATTACACCAGACTGTCAATGTAAATGTCTGTGTTGACAGAATAATTTTAGAAGTAAAACCAGCCTTGCATTTGAAGGATTTATGTCTGAGCCGCAGCGAGTTGTACTTCCTGATAGAAAGCTCGGCAAGAGCGGACTGGTATCACCTAGCACCTATCTTACTGACTCTGTAATAGTTTACCTGCAGCTGCCATAGTAACACATAGAGCACATGAAGAAGCCTGTTCCAGATATGGCTACGTTCATATATCACAACTAACTAGAGCAGAGTAAAATTCTGCTGCTGCTGCTGAGAAAATAGTCCCTTAACATGTGGCGATTCATGCGATACAAGGTTAGTTTTAGCTCTAAAATTATTCTATCGACACAGACATTCACATCAACAGTCTGGCGTAATAACTGATTCGCCTCGGGTGCTTTGTCGAGTGGGTTAGAGTGGGTTTTTAGTGGCAGGCTAACTATGGCCATTGACATGCACTAGCTTAGCACCAGCGACCTCTGCAAATACAAGGACTGGATGGATTATTTCAAAAAGTGTCTCCACACATCTACAGCACTCTGGCTCACTATGAAATGAGGTCCTATGTCCAAAATTCTGAACTGTCCATTTAAGGTCATACTGGGGAACATTCCAGTGACATATCCATAGAAACAAGCAGGTGACGGCCCCCCAAACAAAAAGTTACATAGTACACATTTAAGCTAAGGTAAAGCAAATTTGTACACAAAAAATACCATGATTTGTCCAATTATCCATTTGGTCTTGCCTTCAGAAGCACACATAAAGGTCACATAGTCAAGCGTAACATAGTTAAGCTGCAATATTTATAGTTTCACAAACATAGCTATGGAAAGGTACATAACTTGCATCTTTGTCCATGCCAGATATACAGCCAATGTACAGCTAATGCACAGTGAGCGCTAAGGGTCGGTACTGCCTTGGTCTACTACAAAAGATATCAAAGTTTATTTATTGCACAAAAGAAATAGCCAGAGAAAAGTTCCTAACTGTGCACCAAAGTCTTCAATACAAAACTTGGAAGCTAATGATGTAATGGAAAAATCGGGTACCATTGCCTATTCTGGTCAACTTTCCACAATAATAATCCACTTAAGGAGATAGTTTGGCATTTTGAAAATGTGGGTCTTGCTTGGGTAGCTATTTAAGCAATGTCACGGAGGCAAAGGGTTTCTGGGTAATGGAATGACTAGAAAGTTATTTGTTTTTTTTTTTAGTTTGACAAATTGTGTTCATAGCTCTACGTACAAGGAATACAAGAAGCCTATGTCTGGGTTTATGTTGACTTTTCTAGGCACAGTTTTGAGGTCCATTCAAAAGATGGTGAAATGTTTTAAATTTTTAAATGCTATAATTTTCTGTAGGAATTTTTCATCGCTCTGAAACCCATGAAGAGTGCAAAATGTTGATCCAGTAGACCCAATTTAACAAAATACTGAACTGTCTCTTAAAGCATCTTACAAAGGTGTGTATAAAAATAATTTACAGTGATTAACTAATGTTTTCAATCTTGGCATTGTTGAGAAAGTGGAAGTTTGTCACGTGTAGTGTCAAAAACGTAAAAATCAGCTGTTTGAAAAGTCTTGGCAACAAAATAATTTATTACTCACCTACAGTATGTGGTCTATGTATCCTATATATTCCACTATACAGTCAAATGACACTTCACAATGGCACATACGTAGGAAGAGCAGGTACAAAAACTGGTGGCAAAATAACATTGGTGCTTTTCAATGGCCCACTGTGCTTTGTTTATATAGAAAATAGAACATACAATCATTTTTTTCCATGTCGTCCTCTTTTGGTTTAACCGATGTGAGAAACAAGTGCAGTGGACTTTATAGATATTGGACCTGACAGGCGTTGCCCCAAAAGCTGCTGGTTCATCTCATATTTGAGGGCGCCAAGTCTGAAATGCTAAATAATGCAATACTTGGGGCCAGTTGAGGCTGAAGTGTGTCCCATCTCTTCCTCAATACGAAGATAGTACAATTATTACAATATTTTTATAAGCACATCACCCATTTGAAGTTGCCTATACTGCAAAAAGGAAAATTTGTTTGTTAAAATGACTTGAATTCAGATTATTATATTTTATTAAATAACTTTTGAGAAATTTTGATGAGATTTTTTAGATTAATCATCTGAATATTGAATCTTTTATCATTTTTATAATTTTGAAAAATAAATGTTTACCCCCCCAAACCACCCTTCAGATAATTTTGACTGAAAAAGGGACCACATTATGTTGAAACTAGAGAAATATATTCATAGTAGTTAAAGATGCATTGTGCAAATTTTCTGGTGGAGGGTCACCAGCTTGTCTCTATGGAGATATTACTGCTTTGCCTGGTACCTCATAGTAGGACATTAAACACATCTATCTAGCATTTATTCATCCCAAGTGCTACTATTGCTCAAAAATACAATAATTCTCACTGTGACTAGTGGCAACTCTCCACAGGTCTGAACTGTACTTGAGCCTATAATTGCCTCGCTTGAGATATATAGGTTTAATCTCCACTGTGGAACATTCTAAACAAAGCAATAATATCTCCATGAAGACAATCAGGTGATGGACCCTCCACCAGAAAAGTTGTGCAGTGCACTTTTAAGCTTCTATGTCTAATAAAATAGTTGGTCCTTTCTTTCCGTGTAAAGCATCTCTGAGTGTCCATAAACATGCGATACAAGTTTGATGAATTAGTATAATTGCTATGACAAGAAATCACACTCTGTCATATCAACTCTTAAAAAATAATATTCTGAAGTCAAGTGAGTTGAAACTATTCTGAACCTTCCTTTTTATAGCAGTGTAGAAAACTAGTGGCATGCAACCTTATATCAGGGCCTCCTTTGCACATAGTGGCACATGGCAACAACTACAGTGGTGCCATCTGATAAGAAAAGACTCAAAGGGAAAAGCAGCTGGTCTATTATAAAGTTCTTGTTTGGCTTTTGGGCGCAGGGAGGTCGGCCAAAATACAAAGTGTGTATCGATTGTAATGGCCCCTATCTGTGGGACAGGGGGGAGGCGGCGTCTTTAAGCAGCTGTAGTCGGAACAGACACTTCCAGAAGTCTGTTATTTTTGCGTTTACATGAGACGCTGTTGCCGTTCTTTGGAGCTCCCTGAATGAATTTAACGCACACTTTGTCCTGTTTGAATTGCACCAAAAACCTGTAACAAACAAAGGAAAACAGATTAATATGAATCAATATTGGAAAAATATCCAGCATCCTATAATGTTGTTATGGGCAAAAATAATATGTATTTGGTTTGGGGAGACATTTCAAGACCAATTTTATGCAAATCTCAAAACAAAAACAAAAATGTAGAAAGTCTCTGTTTATCATAATTCCAATTCTTTTATCTAGACATTGTTTTAAACACACGGACACATTTTGACAGGGTACATGTCCTTTAGATAACTATAATATCAGTGTAATTCATATGACCTGCCTTTAGTGAAATAATCCTTAACTAAATAAACACATACTATGAAACTAAAACATTATGAAATGCATGGAAGTTATGAAAAATAAAAAAGGTGATTTAATGTAAAGTTTTAATGTGGATCTTACTCGTCTGAAATGTCGATATTGAGCTGCTCCATGTCTGCAGCTGTGGTTCCAACGCGGTGAAGTTTTGTGATGATTTCAATCAAGTGTTCACTGCTTAGTAAGAAATCACCTTTAACAGCTGATGCAGCACCCTGGGACAGAAATACACAGACATACATGCATTCACAGTGTTAAATGTGTTCTCTGGGGTTGAGTGAGGATAAAAGAACTCTTGCACTGAAGTCAACAGGTTGTATAACACAAGATTTCCTGTTTACCATCTATCCATTAGCTGTAATATGAACAAAAATAAAGCAGCGAAAAAAGTTACAGAACCAGGAAGTATCCAATTTGCTTCATAAAAGGAAAGTGCAGCTTAAATCCACATGTCAAAACACCACTTTACTGTTAACAGGGCCAACTCAAGCTAAAAAAAGACTTTCACCTCTTTAAGTTTGAGAGCAAAGAAGCCATCACTCTGTGTGCTGACGGAGACACTGGACACATCTGGTAATGGGACACTGGCTTTGACCTGTCCTGTTTTCTGATCGGCCAAAACCACATTCTTTTTGGTCAGGAGGAAGATCCGCGCTGTGCCCTGAAAATGGGTGACACAGAAATGTTAATAAAATAACATTTAATATGCATTAATTTAAATACCACTGAAGGTAGCACTAAGCCGACTGTAGTACTATTATCATATTAAATTGTACACACACAGTAATTCACAACATACAAAAACATACAATACTTGAAACAGCAACCTGAACCCTGGACGGTTGAGGGATTACACTGATATTTAAACTACCACAAAGAAATAAAATGCAATTCAAATATAAAACTATTTGTTTTCACTTTGCAGCCTCTTGGCAGAGTTGGCCACAACTGAATGGTTGTTAAGAAAAATTACATTTCTGTGCTGTACTGAGGGCACTCACTGCCAACTTGGTCCTTGTTATCTTGGCCTAGGTCAGAGGTATAATACTCCCTACAATAGAAGCCTAGGACTAAAATGTCTTGAGGGTTTATGTGTCTGGGTGCATGATCCTGTACAATGATAAATACAGTTCTGTGTTATAACTCCAGCAACATTCCTCATCGTTAACTCTTGTGCTACTTTATTTTATGCTTCAACAATGGTGACCTGGCACACTTTTTATGTCAGACGTCCTTCCTCATTTAGATTAAACGAAAATTAGAGACTGCAGTGAGCAATGTGGATAACTTAAACAGTATGTGCTTGGACAAATAACAGCTTTCTAGTCCTGAGAAAAGCAAAATCCCAAATGCTCCCCAATGTTGCAAACAATGCATGATACTTATATCAATGTTTGTAGATGTTTAGAATACCATAGGGACATGCAGAACATAATAAAATGCTTCATAAATCGATATGTTTGTATTAATACAAAAACGATGAACAAAAATTAACGCAAATTTCATCTTCAAAACCATCACTGATTCATTTCATTGTGGGAAATAACATATTAATATGATGCAGAAAGACATAAGCTTTGTGTTCCCAGTGTTTGATGTTTAAAACAGAAAAAGCCTAAATTATAAATGTCCCCTGTTCAACGCACGTCTGCTGCTTGCTGAACCAAAAACACGCTGTTGTTAAAATGTCAAACAGAGTTACTGCACTATTCTGTAACGTGGACTTAATAGACTTTGTGCTCAACTTGGTGGAAAAGATCATTGCTCCTGGTTCATTTAAAAGACATTTTAAAACTGTAATGTGTGGATCATTTGGTGGCATTACCTTCCCATTGGCCCGGTTGATCTTGTTGACCACATCAGCCAATAGGACTTTCTCTTCCACCGCGTTGCTGAGTTTCTGGTACTTGGGGTTCTTGGTGATCTCCAGGTAGTCTCCTTTGAATGGTTGGCTCACACTGAAATAAAGTGCACATACATTACTTGTTATGCACAAAAATATGGTTTGTCTAATTGTTGTGTTCTTTGGCCTTGCACACATAAGTCACATAGGGTGAAGGTTAAAGACTGTACTTGACTATTTGTGAAATAAGAGACTGAATGATATCACCTATCATTTTTTAAAAGGCATTTTGTTAGATGAGAAGCATAATAAAACAAACACCAGGTACAGACAATTTACCAAATCAGACACGATTGGATGAGAAACATGCAGAAACAAATGCTTATGACTATCCCAGACAGTTTCTTTCTCATAATTCAACGGGGACGTGAACTGGGCCAACAATTATTCCTCAGGTTCTTCACTAGTGTGCACATCCTTTAATAAAAATCAAATAAGAAGTTGCACTGATGTAATTTCAAAGAACTAGCATTTTCAATGTTGATAATTTATGTACGCTTTTAAATGAGAATATCAGTTTTGTTAGTCCATTTATCAGCAGTAGAGAAATAGTTGGACTTTATACATTATACTACAGGAAGAGCCAGAAGGCCATAATTTAAAGGTTTAAATAAGATCCAAATCCATTTGAAATGTACATAAATATAACTTATTCTGTTGACAAATTTCATTTCAGTTAAAATGCACTGTGTGATAAAATAATACAACTACAAATGCCCAAATGCCCAGGGAAACAGATTTTGTAGACACAACTTCTACCTCACCTGATTTCACCTTCCTGTGCTCCCAGCTACAACAGCATACACAGCATGACTGGGATCTTTAATATTGACTCATGAGCAAATATTTTTTAACTTTTGCACCATTCAACTTGACACAATCTTATAAAAGTACTCAATAGAGATGTTGATTTACCATTATGTATTTTGGCCCACACCCTTCCCCGTAGTTGCATACCTGCTTGGATACAGAGCTTTCTTATCCTTGAAGATCTCACTGGCCTCCAGTTTCTCCTCGTAAACCGCCCTCTTCTCCTCCGTGAACTGGCTCCTGTATTTCTTGCACTGAAAACAAAGACATGTAATTGAGATTTGGACTTTTTTTTTTTTTACATTTGGTAAGGTGCGTGAAGTCAAGGTTATGCTAAATCAAGAAACAATGGAAACAAGTAAATTAATACATATGCTTAATTATATTTAATCACATTCCAGGTGAAGGCAAAGGCCATAACAAGTGTGGCCAATCCACTAGAAAATGCACATTTAAGTGAAACTGTTGATGTGCTCAATATGGATTATGTTAATTTAAAATACATAGATGTTTATATTATGGAAATCAAATCGCAGTTTGTCTAAAAATGGTTCGAGTCATGTGTTGCTGACCCTCCAGAGGTGGAAGATGCGGCGCAGCTCTGTGTGGGTCTGGTCCAGGAAGAGGTAGGGTCTGCTGGGCCAGCTGCTGTCGATAGGAGACATGGAGGGCATGGAGCTCCTCAGGCCCAAGAAGTACTTCTGAATCTACAAACACACAGATTTCATCTCATTTACACCCTCTGCTTGACCTTTTGTTCCATTTTGTACAACTTATCTTAAAAAACTAGATGTTCTTGTTTCCTTTCAATACAATATCTTTCACAATGTACAGCTGGTTTTCAAATAATGTAGATTTAAAAAATCAAAACTCAAGTCAGATTTAGAATCAATATTTCTGCAATTATTGACTTGAGGTCTCCACTATACCAGAGATATGTATTTTTTCCTATTCATGGGCTTCAGCTTTCTGTTAAATGATGCCATTATGAGAAAGTACCATATTTGAATTGTTAATTACTATTTTATTTTATTACGATTTTCTGAAACCTATAGATAGGTTAGCTATATATAAATATAAATATTACAGTAATAACAGGTTCTAATAAAGTAGACTTGTTCTCTTAATTTTGATAATCCTTAAGACTGTCACAACAACACATTTTGAAGTGCAATATGTTGCTGAAGTGCTGAAGCTAAATGTACAATATTGTTAAAAATTATGATCTGCAATAAATAAATAAATAAATGCACAGCAGAATTAAACACTTCAGTAGTTAGTTTGTTTCTATAATGAGCCATAGAACTTATTTATTCAACCATCGACAGCTAAAATCCAATCAAATCATCTAATCAAAAGTTCTCTATTACTACAAACAAAATGTATCCTTGATAAATACTGTCTCCTAAAAGTTATTTTTCCATCCAACATATATTGAACAATAAGTCAATATAGTAATTATTGCGTCGGGCCCAATAACCCTTCTGAAAAATGTCAGACTATGGCTTTGGCACTTTAACATTTTAGAACAAAAAAACAAGTTATTGCACAGGTGAATCCTACTTACAATTCGCTGGATGACAAAGTCATAGATCTTCTTTCCTGCATTTGCCCTGAAGAATTTCCTGTACTCTCTGCGCACCTGTTACAGCAAAAACATTAAACAAAACACATTCAATCACCAGCTTATGCCAAGTACTGCAAGTTTATAAGAGGCCAAAAAGTTATAGAGCAACACTGAATGAAATATGGCGGTTTGGGAGACAGCTACAAAACGGACATGGGGTTAGTTAGTTACAAACATTGACCAACACCTGCAAGAAACAAGGCACACTCCATGCTGTGAGAAATAATTGTAATTAAAATGATTGCTGTCAAATTAATGAGCGAAAGGTCAATAGTGTTTATCATGTTGACCCAAATTGTAGAAATTGAGCTGTGAACAGGTGCAGTGGTTAACATGTTGTGGTCAATTATTATAATGAAAAGATTAACAAATAAGCAGGCACATAACAGATGATTACATAAAGCGGGACACACAACTCCTAAAAATACACAGAAATTAAAAAGAAATTAAAAGTGTTGCAACAATTACGAGTGGGCAAATACGTAAAACTGCTGGAAAATGGGTTAGTGGTTGAGCATTGAGACAATGCGAGCAGATATAAAGTTGAAGAGGTGAGACAGGTTGATTGACAAGGCACAGACTCACTCAAAATGGTAGAATTTATCTGACAAAAATATTGAAATGTAAGGCTAGACGTGTAGACAGTTTTGAAAGGTGTCAAACTATATTTAAATACATTCTTGCTTTCTATCAAAACCTAGAAAATGTGTGGTTGTCAGTCAAATAAATATCCAATAGTTGTGTTTCTGGCCCTTGTCTGTTGACCTGAAAATATTGAATGTTTTCTAATGGGCAGAAGCTGTAGATAGACAAATGAGTGAATAATATGACCGCATAAGAGGTTTCAGGAAGTATGTAGCTTTTATTATTATATGGAGAAGGTCTGAACGCTTAATTATAGATTAACTATATTTGATTGTGGCAATATTTACCCAATGGGCTGTAACTTTGTAATATATCAACTCATAACTGCATAATACATCAACCATTATGACAAGGTGACATCTTAACAACCTTTTTCAGTGGCACAATATGTTTTTTATACTTATAAATGGACAGTGGCCATTCAGCTGCAAGGTTTATGGGGGTATAACTAGTTTAGTCTGGTCTAGTTTACAGCCAACTATGAGTAGAGAGACCAACTCACTTCGTTACCACATGCATATTTTAAGTCTTATATATTCACTTTTCTTATATTTAACCTAAAACATGATAAGTCCTATAAAAAAGGTTGTTTGATTGAAAATGGCTTCATGGTGAGGTAGTTTGTATAAAGAGAGGAGAGAGAACAGATTATGCAGAGTCTGGGTGGGTGGCATGCTCTGTAATGGGCGAGCTGCAGATTTGGAGGGGGTACCTGGAGTCCCTGCCAATAGGCCCAAATGACAGCGACCGCATGCCTACGACGGGCTTCCTCCTTCAGCCGCCTCAGCTCCCTGCGTGCCTGTGCCGAGAAGGACCGGAGAAAGGCGGGGGGAAAGGATGAGGAGAGGGAGAGAGATTATATGTACTAAATGTACAAGTTCAAATCGAATTACAATACCAGGAATATGTAGTGTCATTGTGGTTTGTTCAATACTGAAGACTCGTTTATCAAAGCTACGTTATTTACAAGTGCACGTTTCTGGTGGAGGGTCCGCCATCTGCTTGTCTCCATGGAGATGTTGTTGCTTTGTCTAGAATGTCCTGGTATGACATTAAACGTATCCATCTTATATTTGCTCAAAACCATGAGTTTTTATTGATTAAAAAATAAAATGGGCTCACGTCACCATAGATCTGGCATGTAACTTGGCCCTGTGGCGTTACCCGTTGTTGCCGTAGAGATAAATAAGTTTAATGACATACTGTGGAACATTCGAGGCAACATCTTCATAGAGAAAAGTTGGAGACAGACCCTTCACCAGAAAAGCTACACAATGTTGGGTTTCCATATATTTGGGGACATCACATTCATTTCCTTGAGTGATTCTAAGCTTAAATCATAGTCCTTACTAGGGATGGGCATGATTAGTCAATTAATCAATAATTGATCATTAAGAATTTCGTCAATTACATTCATTCTTAATCGCCAAACCGAATGTAGGTTGCTAAGGAGACGAGGCTGCATCTGACAGCGCAAACACTGGAGTTGCAGCCTCACAGTCCCACATTTTGGCTCTGGCACACCTCCTTGGAGATCACTGTATCACTCAGTGAGTGCATTTCCATGCACATCAGTATCCTGGTTTCGTCATGGTGCATGTAAATGCAGTATCCCGGTTACTGCAACATAAAGAGCTGCACTAAACCTGCATACGTACGACCTCTAAAAACATGAACCATCTCCAACACGATATATGCAAAGAACAGACTCACCATTAGCATCAACATCCCTCTGTCAAAGAAAGAACACCTATATTCCACTGACTCGTGTCCTTTAGTCCGACAGAAGCTGACCGCATCACCGCACAAGAGTCGTTTTTTTTTTCTTCGCTTAGTTTATGCAAATCAGCCATGCGGTTTTAAGTTTTGTTTCTGTAAGACTTGTACAAATCTCAAACGGACTGATGTTGCTCTATAGTGGTTATGGATTATATGTCCTAAGGTTGAGTTTATTTATGCAGATTAGTAATAATAATTATGATAATTTTAATATAAAACATTAATGATGAATTGAAAAATCGATTGTTAATTCTCCCGACAATCAGTTAAGAAAATTTAATTGAATGCCCATCCCTAGTCCCTACTTGTCTAACCTTGACCTATTTTATCCCATATCTGAAGTTTAAACATTATAGTTGATATAATTATGTACGATTTACACCATGGGGGCTGATTTTTTCCACATAAGAGAGACAGGTCCCCACAATGTGAGGACAGAACGAGACCATAAATTAGGCGTTGTAATGATTAGCTGTTAGCACGGTTGTTCCTCTTTTAGCACTCCTCAGTCATTGCAAGTAGTTCCTGGCTGTGCTGCTTTTTCTCAGCTCTTGTGTGAATGTGTGAGAGAGTGGAGGTTATCTGACAAGAGTGCTCCATCATTCCCCTCAGTCGAATCACCCACACCGCCCCCTGGAGGTGTTACGGGTCACTGAACGTACAAAAACAAAGTTGGACCCAGTGACTGAAACATAGAGCATTTGTAGTGTTTTGGCTTGTGTGTGAGAATGGAGTGACACACTGGGTTAAATGTGGCTTGAATTTGAAAACCAGATAAGTGGTCCAAAGGATAAAAGACGGATTTGAGCCAAGCATATTCAAAAGTCTAAAAGTCATTGGCAGTATGTAACACTTTTTGGTGTAGGATTTAAATGCAATAGGCTTTGAGAAAATGTGTTCTGAAGGTCAAGATATAAACACTGTAAATTAATTCATATTTACTTTTAAAATAAAAAGTCTATTACACCCAGTCCTTTTCAACTACAAAATTGTACTTAAAATTGTATGCTTTGAGGGGTAATGTAGGACAGCTTTCTTACATGTTTCTCAATACTTATATACAGTGTTCCTTCGTTTATTGTGGGGTTATGTTCTAAAAATAACCTGCGATAGGTGAAATCCATGAAGTAGTCAACTTTATATTTTACACTGATTATATCTGTTTTAAGCCTGTAAAACCCCTCACCACACACTTTATACACTTTTTGCAGACAGGACAGTTACAACCATTTTTGCATCCTTCTTAAACTTATTGCTGTTCCGCACCTCACGGAGGTAAGCATGGCAATTGCCCACTCTAGCTTTGCGGACACCCTGCTCGAGGTTCTCTCTCCAAGTCCAAGATTAGTCCTGCTTTAGACCTGGTTTAGTCCTGACCCACCCGTGTGTAATTACTACCTGCCCACAATACAATTTCATACACTGTCAACAAAAGCATGCAAAATTGCACTAAAAAAATCTGCGAAACCGTGATAGAGCGGTCTCGCTGTATACACTACCACTTATTAAGATGTATAGAGATGCAAGATTTGAATGGTAACCACACATTTGGACAGAATTTCTTTTTTTTTTTTATCTTTATAGTCTTCAGTATTAATACTTTTACTACACAATGATCAATACATATTTTATTGGTCCTGTAAATGAACACTGCACACAAGCTTTGGCACGTCACTCCATTTACCTGGATAATCGCTGCAATAAAATAATAGTTAGTAGTGGTTAAAAATATGAACAAAAGTTACTCATGCTTATGTTACGAGATGCAAACTACTGAAATCCAAAACAAAAACATGCACTTATTTGGAGGAGAAAATAAATCATGCAGAGAAGAGTCATGCATGATGGATCCTGATAGCAAACCTGTGCGGGTCTAATGGCATTTTTACCTTTATATTATACAATGACTTCATTATTTAAAAGGTGCAGTATGTAACTTTTCACCTGCTGCTTGAAATGTTCCACAGTATGGTATTAAACTTATCATGTACTTATTCAATTATAGTTTCAAATATTCCTTCAAAAACAACCTCACCAGCTTGATTCCATGGAGATACACATGTTAAATGCCATACTTTGGAACTTTTCTAGCAAAACAATAAGCAAAACAGTTAGCACACCCTCCACGAGAAAAGTTACACAATGTACCTTTAAACCTGCAAGGGCAAGCTTGTAGTTATTATATAAAAAAAGTGTAAAATTTCACTTATGCATCAAGACTATAATGAATGAGCTACAAACTGGATGACTCATGGATCAGATGGGTGTTTCTGAATGGGTAAAAATGATGGGAATGGGGTTCGATGGAGGCGGCGAGGCACTACAATTCAAACCAGCAGCTCCTAAATACCTTGGTGCCCTGCCATCCGGCCCATATGACCGACACGGCATGCTTATTCCTGGCTTCCTCCTTCAGCTGACGGAGCTCTCGCCGGGCCTGATGGGAGCGCGGTGGAGGAGGTTAATTTCAGTGGCAATCAGCAGTAATTGTCAGGTTACTTAGTAGGAGCGGGTAGGTGTAAAATCATTGGACATTGATGAAAGGCGAAGAATATTGAACACAAGGTAATGGTTCAGATGGAGACTCATAACAGGGCTTGATGGGCAGGTATGATAATTAGGACCACATTTGTGCAGGGTTATGGAGATTTTCATTATAGATATTTTGCATGTAAAAGCATATTTACACAGCTTTTAACAAAACAGGAAAAAGTGTGCATTTTGCACAATTTTATATTTTCTATCCTCACTTATTATATCAGGAGCTCACCACAGAAATAAACATGTTAACAAGATAAAATGGAACTTAATAGATGCCACAGTGGGGAATTTCACTATTTAAAAGGTGCACTTTGCATCTCTTCTGATTATCTCATCTGCTAAATGCTAGTATCCAAGGAGAGGTTATGCTTTACCTGGAATGTTCCACAATATGGCATTAACCATATATTGTCTACATTGCATTTATTTTAATTTCACATATTTTCATTGCTTAATAATACCTTAAAAACATATGTTCTTACAATAATCTATTGTCTCTGAGTTTAAAGACATTTTGTGGAACATTCCAGATCAAGCGCTTATATATCACCATAGAAACAAGCAAGTAACAAACCCTCCACCAGGAAAGTTACATAGGGCACCTTTAAGGTAACTCCAAATACACAATTATGTGTGTTTTGTTTTGCTTTTTTGTTTTTAATGGCACATACCATACATATTTTTAACCTTAATGCTACCATCTGTAAGTCTATTTGATAGTTTTTACCAGTAGATGACCAATGTAAAACCTGTTCCCTCCTTCTCTCTCACCTGGCCTTTGTTCAGTCACCTGAACAAAACCTCACTCACTCACTCTTCTGTCAGGCCAAAGCTGGCACACTATCAGACAGAAGTAACATAGTCATATATAGTCAATATCTAGTGGAGAAGTGTGATAATACAATAAGGGTGGGTGGGTCAATCTAATCTAAACAGATGGTAGCTTGAAGTCTAAACAAGCATACCAATAGCATTATATTTAAAGATGGTTCAGATGTAAGGCACATACTGTTGTTGAATTTAGAAAAATACACTGATAGTACAATTATAATGACATACATACACACACAATATTGGGACTGTGGATAACAAAGGGGTCACTACTCTATTCAGATTGACAGACTGTTGGCACTGATCCGACAAAGGACAACAAGGTGGGATGGACTCACACTACAGACTACAAATACCTTGGTTCCCTGCCAGTACGCCCAAATAACTGTCACAGCACGTTTATTCCGCTTTTCCTGTTTAAGTCGTCTCAACTCCATTCGAGCCTGGCAGGAGGGAGTGGTAGCAGAGTGTGGAGGATTTGAGAAAGGATAAAGGATAAAGATGAGTTTTTAGAGTAAAGTCGAGTTACGTGATTAGAAAATAGAGTAAGACCATAGGAGAACAGTAGCATTGGTTGAGAATACACAGATGAGGCAAAATACTATGTCCACTGGGAGAAATGGAAAACACAACTAAAATATTTTCATGCACTGCAAAAAACAAATACCAGCATAAATTCAAATTAATAGAATGAATTAAAGAATTATTCAACCCCCAGACTTGTTTGTAAATAAGCCTGGTGGTTGTACGTTTTGTTCCTCTGGTAAATAGTCACATTTGTAGAGCACTTTTCTAATCATCGAGTCTCTTGCTCAAGTACACAATGGCAGTATTCATGTCAATGGGTGTGTGAATGAGGCACTAGCAACTTAGGCATTGCCACCTCCAATAGCAGTATTTATCAGTATAAATGCTGGGAGGTTTAGCCAATTTGTGTAACTTTAAACTGTTCAAGTAATTACTGGTTTTGCAATATAATTATTTGTTGCAAATGGGTTACAAAGTACCCAGGTGGTCAAAGTGTTATGCTCAATCTGTGTATAGTAATACTGTTGTGTTAGAAGAAGTGCATACCATAAAAAAGTAATATAGATACTTCAGGAACAGGCTTTCCACATTTGAGACCAGTATCAAAACTAAATTCTTCTTTTTCATGCATCCACCCTTCCCTCTGATATCGGATGTTTTTTCAGTACCTGTGTCCCATGCCAATATGCTGCAATTGTGGTCACCGCCTCTTCACACCTCTTTTGATACTTGAGCTCTCTCAGGAGTTTGCGAGCCTGTAGTAACAAACAAAGAACATGTTTTTTTTTTTTTTTCGTTTTAAAGTTGAATTTTAACATGCATAATTCATAGGAGCACATACCTGCCATCCTCTAGTGTAAGACTGAACCACTGTGGTAGCACTCTTGATCCTCTTGTACTTCTTTTGTTGCTGTGACACAAAATGAAAAATATAGATTGAACAAAACAGCACAATTGAATAACACTTCTTGCAATATGGGCAAATGGAAATTAGGTGGCACAGAAGTCTTATTTTACTGCTGATTTTGTCCTTGTACCAGTGGTTGTACTAGTTTATAAAATACAAGAACATCTTTTCCTTTAACACAGTTAAACAGTTTTTATCCTGATGCCGTGAGACAGATTAATTCTGTCAGAAAAAACACTACAAAACAGCACTGACTTGGAACGCACTTTAGAAAATGGGGGCGGGTTGACATACAATATTTTTAACAATTTTATTCTTGTTATAACTATTTATTCTTATTATAACTATTTGTTCTTATTGTTATCTGTGCTGCTGTTGACCTGGACCTGAGTGCATTGTTTCGTTTCTGTGTATTTTTTATACTGGAATGACAAATAAATTTGATTCTGATTCTGAACACTATAGACCTTTAACAGTGATTGTCCCTATAGAGAATGTTATTGCTTTGCTTGGCTGTTCCCACAATATAGTGTTATCCAGTCTTGACTTTATAGTTTAATGATTTTATTTTTAATCATGTTTTCTTTCTATGAGCAGGTCACCTCTCCACAGATCTGACTTGTAACTTGACCTGGTGGCATCACCTGCTTGTCTCGAAGAACAATACTTTTCAGCCAAAGCAAAACCATTTCCACAGCATTATATCTGCCTGAAGAGAGGAGATAACTACACTTAAACTACTCTGAAACTAACACCACTTGTTTGCAGTTTCTGTTTGTTAGCGAGCTCTATACTACACTAATTGGGGACTGTGCCTGAATCATATTAGCATAATCATTCAGGCCCCTGATGGGTGCTTTCACACCTGAGCCTGACCAGGGTATCACAACTGTTTTCTTTGTCTCGATTTAGGTCTGAGGATGGAGTTGAAAATGGAAGAAAGATGATGTCTGAGCCCTCCATTTCTTTTCAAAGTAAAATTCACAAGTAGGTGTATTGCCCTATATAACTGTACAAGGCAGTGTCCACCAGCAATCTGACCAAAACTGAAGAAGCAGCTTGGATGAGCTGCAAACATATTCAAAAAATAATAATAAATCATATGAGGGATTTTACAAACACCTGCACAGACCTGATAAGACTTGGTGTATTTCTTGTTTAGACACTAACCTCGTTAAGTTCCTGTTTGTCATTAGTTATTTATCCATGCATTTTAGACTTGGCAGTTAACTACTTGAAACTACATTCCTCTATCGTTTGAAAGGTCAAAAGTCCTTAAAATGGTGCCAGTAACAATAAACCCATGCAGTCCACTCACTGCGTATCTCCGGTACCAGGCAGCCACTGTGATCTGACTCTGTTTGAGAAGCAGGAAGTGTGTGCGACACTTCCATCCTCTGTAGATCTTCTGAATGAGTGTGGCCAGGTCCTCCAGGCACTGCTTCCTCCGCTCCTCCAAAAAGAAAAGCTACAGCACAAAACACAATAAAAGGACATTGTTTAGTTTTACAGCAGACAAAAAAGGACAACTACCAGGCACATATCTGTAAGCAATCTGCTACTGAGATTCCTGTTTTTTTGGAAACAATTGCTAATTAATCAGCACTCTTTCTAATCCATCTCTGAACTGCATTTTTTGGTTTGGACCAGTTAAGTCCTGATTATGTAACCAGGACTAGAACTGATTCTGGATACGTCCTGGTTAAGATCCTGTTGAGTCCAGGTCAAAGCTTAAAGTCTATGTTGATGTGGTGATGTGGGTTTAGTCCAGTTTTTGTGCCAAGTTTGGTTTTGTGCTGAATGTTCTATGTTTGATCATTTGTTTTATAATACAGTAGTTATTTCCCCTTTTCTCCACTTCTTGATAGTGTGATCATTATTTACACTTCTGGCATGAGGCTGAACTACTTTCTTCATTGGACAATACAACTTACATTGTTCATCTTTTGTTGGCTCTGAATGACTAGCTCTATACAGACCACATGGTATAGCAGCATAAATCAGTCTACCCTTCTATGGATTGTGATAAAAATACATGTTGGTTGGTAGTTAATCAAGAATGTGACTGCATTTCTGAACAGTGAGTGCCAAGCTATTTTCACATCACATACATAACCAAAACATTTTTCTCTTATGTTCTATAACTTTCCATATTAGGTGCCACTTCAAACTCTAGTGGCACTGTTACGTAAGACTTTCAATGAGTGTTATATCATTCAAGTCGGCTCCATCTATTCTTTCTCTGCACCACCTCCTGCTAAACTCATCACAGCGGTTTTCTAATGTACATGCATATGAATAGTGTACAGACGCCCTCCCTTCTGCAGTGCATTTATGTGACTTGCCTGTTACATCACTCCTGTTCACTCTGCTCATACTATACCAGCCTTTTCAAGAAATCTTGTCATTTAAAAACCAAATATCCTTACATAATACAGATATAGTATTTACAGTAGATTAGCCCATCAGATAGGACACATAATTACAAAACTCCTATGAGATCATGCTATTCTGGGTTTTGTTTTTGCTGGTTTTGTGCTGAAGTCCACTTAAATGCTGGAGGCCTCAAAAGTGAGTTATTTCCCATGTACAAGAAGGCACAGATAAGTGAAACCATGTGTTTTGTGAGTAGTGGTTGCATGCTAATTGCTGGAGTGGGGGCTCGGAGCATAGCCCACCCGGCTTCACAAACATCGTGAGAACAGTACCCAGCTGAGCACACTGGACAGGGCTTGATAAATAACAGTGAACAACAGATGTCAAGACAAGAAATGTATGTGGGATTTTGAGGTACTGAGAGGGTTGGTTGGATTAGTTTAGTCCTAGTTTAGTCATGGGTTTGTTTTAAGATCTTTATAATTTCTTTCAGTACTGACAAGTTAATACCTAGTTTATCAAATAGTATCTGAATATCTTTTTAAAACCCTATAATTAAATGATTATCTTGGTTTAGTTTTTAGACTGTATTGTCCTCATAGACTAAGTTTCCCTCTGCATTTGACTGCATTTATGCTTTTGCACTGATAAATTCAGTTTTAGACCACATTAGCGCCTAGATTATATTTGCTCCTTCTTCAGATCTGCTTTACAGAGTACTGGGTGCAGTTTACTCACAGTTCTGGGGTTCCTAATAAAGATTTTGGAGCGGCCGTAGGAAAACTCCTCTGGATTGACTTGGAGATCTGTCATTAACACCTCCACGCCTTCCCTATAAAAGGAAAGAAAAGCTGTTAACATAATGAGGCATATACAAAAAAGGTATCTCTTAAAAGTAAATACAATGCAATGATGAAGTTTATTAGGGCTGGGTGATATGACAGTAAAAACTGTATCATATTTCCCTCCTATTGGTCAGCTTCATGAGTGATAGGTGGATTTGAAAATACACACGATGATTTAGGCTCTAAAAAATAGTCTTGGCTTTTTTGGCACATCACAAACCCCTAACGCTATAATTTATTTATAAATTTAAAAAAATGAACTCAGCATGTCTAGATCCAATAACAAAGACAAAGCGCTTTCAAATGTGTTTCATTCATTCTCAAGTCATTATAGTGATTCCAGCAAGTCAGCGATGCCTCCAAGTCTACTGATATCTTGATCCAAACATTCATAATATTTGTTTTTTCAAGATCTGTTTTGTCTAAAAAAAAAAACCCCGAAAAAAAACAGTAACACAACATTTACTAATTGTTTGGTATAATAAGTATGTATTTGTCATGCATGATAAGCACAAAGGTCTCTAGCTGAATAAAGTACCCACATTGGAGCAGTAAAAGAGGGCAGGCAAAACAACAGTGCATGAATAAGGCTGATCTCAATCTCTAACCAGGACGGGATGAGACATACAAGTGGAGCCAATTCAGATCAAGTTTGAGATGAGGAAGAAAAGTCAAAACATGCCTTGTATAGGAAGGAGATGTGTCACTTTCCTAAATAATCGTATGCACTGAGAATTGTTTTTAAGAAGTTTCATTTAGACATGGGAAAGTAATGTAAAATATGTGCACACTGTTTAAGAAAAGATTGTTCTTATGTTAGCCCAGCCATACCCAGCCCTTTGCAAACTTTGGATGACTTGGTGGTAAATGAATTGCACAATTAATACCAAAAAGAACTAAGTAAACTAAAGCATTACACAATGTTATACTAAGGCCAAATTCATTTTTTTCATTGCATATTGAGACAGATTTCAAAATAGATGTCTAGACAATATTCTTTCCACTAATGTGTTTGAAATGAATCACAGACAAGCACCTCGATTACATGGTGCACCTCTTAAAAAAACAGATTCCACATGGCCGCTTTAGAAATACTAACACTTTCCCCTCACTATTGACAGTTGTATTTCTTCTCACACTGGTCTGGAGAGAGTTATATTGGAGGCTTCTTTCTGGAAACAGGCCTCCAGCTCCTCTCGGTCACACCTGGGACTGACCACTCCATTAGCCTCGGTCACTGTGTCAATCCTATGGGACCAACTGTGTTACACTTTACTGTTGTTAAAGGCAGCTGCCAGCCATTCACTTATTTTCACACACTTTTCCCCAAATGAAACCTCAGAGTTCAATGCATTTGTTTAGGAAATGGTACAACAAATACCACAACAAATCTCGGGGAGCAGGCCTAAGTCACGAAGAAGACAAACTTGCCTATATTTAATTTGGGAAAAACAAAATAACTTTCAAACTTAACACAAAATACCTTTCTGAAGTAACAGAGAGGAAGCAAGGTTTTACTCATGACAAAATGGTTCATCCATAATTAGAGGTGTGCCAATTCTCTCTGGAAGAGGGTTCACTATCTTCTTGTAAATATGGAGATGTTATTGCTTTGCCTGGAATGTCACTGCATGGCATTTAAGTTATCTCTCTAGGGAGACAAGCAAGGACAAGTTACAGATCAGATCTGTGGCATCCCCGTTTAGTTTTTTGAGCAATATGCACATGAAACTGTATAAATGCAAACTAGATAAGTTCAATGCCAAACTGCAGAACAATCTGGGTAAAGCAATAACATCTCAATGACAAGCAGGTGACAGACCCACTTCCAGAAAAAGTACATAGAGTACCTTTATGGAAAGTGTGTTTTGACATAATATGTCTTGAGTAACACATGAGCAGTGTTTATATAACCATGAAATAAGACTTGTTTTTAATTTGAGTACAAGTCTGGGTACTACATGTTTAATATTTGCATTTACCAGTGCCTTAGAGGGGGTAACACCTTCCAAATCTTTCTAGATAGGACATCAAATACAGGTACTGATTTGTAATACTGACAGTAAAAGCATTAAACATATACTAGTTAAGATTCTGGAGTATCTTGAAACTAAAACAGAAAATATGGGGACGCAAAAGTTAAATACAGCTACTTAAAACAGTTAATCAGGGTATACATGGCAGCTTCCTGTCATAGGTAATATTTTGAGGACTTTTCACCATTGAAAACATACCATATTTTGCTTTAAATAGTTAACTGCAATGTCAATGGTCCCATTTTTTCATCATCTGTCATACGGCAACATTTTGAGGACCATTCAGAAGATGGGATGTTATGTTTTACATTGTTAATTGCAATGCCAATTGAAGTACAAACATCTTACCTGGCGGGCCCTCTCCAGTGGGGCCACGTGCGTTTACAGAGCATCTTGTACCTCTCCAGACAGGGTTCATAAGGCTGTCTGAAAGCATAGCCCGCCCTCCGCACTCTCACGTTCTCCATCAGACCCAGGTAACGCACTTGATGACGAACCAGAGAGTCAGTGAAAATGTGAGACGCTTTTTTGTCATTGGGCTTGATACACCTGGACAGAAGAGGGTGAAATTACATAAGCATCCATACTGAAATGAGAACAAAATTAGATATCTACTGAATAGCTTTAGAAAGGTCCTGATCCATATTAATCAAGTCACATTTAACTGTATAGCATATTTAAAAACAACCCCAGTTGACCAAAGTGGTGAATATCCAACATTAAAGCCAAATACACAAAATAAAACAGTAAAGATTAATTTAGGCTAAACTAAAAATCTAAAATTTTAGAAATAGTTTAAGACTAATGGATCTGAAAAAATAAATTACATGTTTTTGTGGTGGAAATTCCAGTCATTCGTGCAGAAAAGTGCTTTTTTTTTTGACATCACTAAGATTTCAAGCCATTTCCTTAGTTTGAAATTGAGTTTTTAGTATTAGTAATTAGCAGCAATTATTTTTTGTATTAAGTGTTGAAGCAAATCATTCTGGAATGTCAATTAATTAACTATTACTAATTAATTAGTAAGTTGCAATTCTCACTAAAAGTAGCAATGAAATATTTCCTAAAAAGTTCAGTTTATTTTGGACTTTATATATAAAAATGTCAAAAAGGTCTACGGCATGGTATTGAATACAGAGTAACACAGAAATGTATACCTGATGTAGTTGGGGTTCTTGGTCAGTAGGTTCTTCATGAGCGTCCCGACTGAGTGTCTAAACTGGAATCCGGCGGTGGGGGGTCTCTTCAGGTTGACTTTGGCTGGGTTTCCCTCTGGAAACAGCTGCTTGATCAGGCTGTGGTTGGCCTTGTACATGGCCTGGGACAGATCGCGATACAGCAGGTCGTTGTTCTTGTCTACAAAGCCTTCGACTCTGTACAGCACCTAGAATAGAAGGGAAAAAAACAACAACAATAGACCACTTAAGCTTTTTGAATACAGGCATTAGCACAATATAATACAATAGCTCTAAGGTTATCACCCAATTACCTGAGAAATACAATGAGGCTTTGTGGCTCGAAAGTATTTCAAATTAAGCAGTTTTTTTTTTTTTTTCTTCCCCCCCCTCATTTTCGATTTTTCATTTTGAGTAGGTGCACTATATCATTGCGAGGCAGAACCAGTATATTGGTAGAAATCAATATCAAGGGCTTCTAGACAGTATTGGTTCATATTGGTTCATATGGTCTACTTTACGAACACAAACAGTGACTCATTGCACAGTTTCAAAGTGGACTGCAAGAGGAAAAGGAATACAGAAAAATCAGTGCTTTACAATAAATGAAAAAAATAGTTAACCCCCATAGTGTACTAAAAACAAGCTAAATAGTAAACTGGTATGACAAATTATACTTTCTGCTTATTGTGACATCAAAAACACATAAAATAAATTACAGTATTCAAACTGAAACAGGTTAAAGATTGAATAGAGGCAATAATAGATGTATAAATAAAGTGTATAACTAGTAATAATAATAATATAATAATAATAATGTACAACCACGCTTTTCACGATACTGCAAGATGCTAACCACAAGAACTGTAACTGCATTATTTAAAACTATTTTGTGTGTCTTTTCCAGTACCTTGCCAGCGTAGTGTTGGATCCTGAAGCAGTTGTGTGGCAGGCTGTGGTCAGTGAGGAACTTGGAGTTTTTGCTGAGGCGGCTCTCAAAGTGCTGGTGTTCTGCACAGACTGTGTTCAGTTTGTCCAAAAACGTCTCATCTGTCACTGTGCCGGGACGCAGACACTCCTCGTCAAGCATCGCCAAGATCCCATTCTGGTTCTGGGCAAAGGAAACAAAAATTATACAAATTTAGTTATCATCAAAAACGCAAAAAAGGGCTCACCGTTTTTTGAACATAAGGCAACAATAAACTCAATTTAGCATCTACGTCAATGCAAATGTGCAATATAAACAAATAGCAATACAGCATAGCAAACAATTTATTAATATTATTTTAACATTGACTGATTTTATGTCTGTGTCCTTTTTAACATTTTTTTTTTTACACCAGTCAAACACTAAAAGCATTTTGGATTGCTTAATTCTTGTGTGCAATAACAACAAATCTTCTTATGACTATGACTAGTATTAAAATGTGCAGAAAAAAAGAGGACTATTGTTGTTTATCTTTAATGCATGGGTTTGTCCATCAGATGACCTGTTCTGGAAATTTGTTTCATAATGCAGACAACATCAGCCATAACATTGTGACCACCTGCCTATTATTGATGGTTATATCTTGACTAGTTTCTATACACACAAACAGTAACTTCTTGAGCAACACCCAAAGCAGTAGCCTAAAAGGAACCAGTTGGACAAGCAAATGACAATTACTAAATTCATGCTTGACCGATAATCACAACGTATAATAACAACTCATATCCATTATAATTAATTATGTTACGCCAGAAAAAATAATTACACAATCACATTCTAATGCACTGAGTGGATACTAGAAGAATTGCTTTGTTTGTATCTGCAGATGTCAGGGCTGACTTACATTCTCAATGAGGTCGCAGATAATTGCATTGTTGAAGTATTCGATGTTGGTCCACTCAATGCCCTGTAACAAAAGAGAGAGGTCGTGTTTTCAGTGGTTTGCGATGCATCTTCAGAACTAACAAGAAAGCAGCATCAGGTCCATTAAAATGAAGTAGTACTTGTAAAATGCTTGAGGATTTATTTCAAGATGTTACACAAACCTTGATCAAATATTATCAGGAAAGAAAGACAGCAGGCTTTTGTTTATGAGTGGGTACAGTCAAGGCCTTAAGCAATCATGTTTTAGATTACAGTTTGATATGGTCGTAGCGCAATCAGTAATTCCTATCATTGCCAGTGTAGCCCATGAATGGGGCTCTGTGTCTTAAAACCATGCAGTGGCCACATGTTTACGACCTTTCAGGAATACTGTGGCACACTGTAATAAGATTAATTTTTAAAGAGCATGCAGTTTGGGTAAATCATTCAATCACTGACTTGCAATATATGACTCTACTAGTTTAAAACGTTCAAACCAGAACTGATTGTTGTTATTTCAAGTGAAAATTGAAAACTGCCAGTGTGGAAATATTCGACCCGGCAATCATCTAATTGCAGTCTTGTTGTGACCATTCAAATTGCTATTTAAGTCTGGTTTAATCTATCAAACCCATTTTGTCCAACTCAATAGTCTTTAGCCGTTTTAAAGGGAATTGCAGTTATTTTACAAATTGTACAGCTTTAACCCACTGATAACTGTCACATTTTGAGTCAGGGGTACAAATAAGCAGAGCCTGTCCTGATGGAGGGACCAGCCAAATTCCTGATTGGTGTCCCGGCCTGTTCTCTCAGGGCTGTGGTATTTTCCCATGCAGTGGACTGGACAGGGGCCAGAGGGGGGGCTGGATATCGTCGTGTGGTAGTGATGTTGAGAGGGGCGTGGGGGTCAGCTCGTGCACTTAAGATACATACACACATGCGGGGTCCATGTGTGTGGTGGGGACATTACATAGACTTGTTTTCATTACCGGGATCTAGCCCAAACCCAGCCTAAATCTAACCTAACCTAGAAAAGGCCAACATAATGATAATACAAAAAATGTTGTTCCCAAAACTGTTGTGCTGATCACTGGCATATGTGATATTAAGTATGTAATCTAATTTAGAAAGCAGTCAGAAAAAATATCTGCCACAAAATGTCTTTTAGTTGATTAGAATTTAGTTTGACATTTAAATGTTCTCATGGATTGTGTGTAAAATCCCTCAGTTGTCCAGATAGAATCATGGCAAAAGGAGAGATTCAATTTGTCAACTGGACAAAAGTTTATTGTGTCCAGCTGTAAGTATTGCTTTTGGGATAGTGAAATGATACGTCAATATCATCCATCCACCCCTACCTAATCTGTACTGGGCTGGATTACATATAAATATTAACAAAATCTCCAATATCATTCTTTATTCTTTATTCTTATTATACTCCATTCATTATTCAAAGTACAATTCTGACTGTTATACGAGAGTCCATTTTGGCTTTGTAACTAATTTACTTATCTGTTGCAACACTAAAATTTCCCCATATTGGAGAGATAAAACATTTTCTCGTATCTCATATATGCCTGCAGAAAGTTCAAGTCCCCACATTAGTTATTGACCTTGTACTGTCTCACACACACATAACTTTGAAAACAAACAGAAGTTAAAGGCCCAGGGACGGGACGGGACGGCTATTTAGGTTTGAGCCTCAATGAGGGGCCACTTCCATCCCTAAAGACCACAGAAGGGACAGACAGAAAGCAGAGAGGGGACATAGAGTGCAAGTGACACCAGCTCAGGGGCAAGAAGATGATTTTGGGTGAAAAAGTACAAAAGGTTAAATAGACGCCACATTATGGGTGGGTTGGCGTGATGGATACAAGTGGTGACATAAGAAACTGTTATGTACACATCTGGGTACAATAGAAAATGTGCAAAGAGTTACAGTGGGTCTGCCTCCCATTGTGTCAGATTTTAATTTAACTTTTGACTAAACTTAGTGACTTTGTATTGTGACATGTTTTGTATTTGCAAGTATCACCTCTAAATCAAGCATTTAACATGACTATTCCAGGTCTAATCTAGGGTTAAACCAGGTCTAACGGTGGACAACATCACTTCTGCTATAGCTCTAAACAAGAAATTACACAAAGGAGGACACAAATGTAAATAAATGTGGCCATGGAGTTATAATTTTGATAAGAATGTTCAACAGTGTGTCATTACAGTTTTCTATCACCAGGTCAAATCTGTGGAGAGGCCACCTGTTAAATGTAAGCATGCATGTTTTTCCAAGCCATTAAAATGCAATTACACCTACAATTTAATAAATGCAAGATATAATTTGCCTCCTCGAAGACAAACTGGTGGTGGACCTCCCACTAGAAAAAGTTACATAGTGCGCCTTTTAGTTATAAATCACTAACATAATCAGTAAAGAGTGGTTATGAGATGATAGCATTAATCATTAAACAATACTAAAGACAAAAGCTTCCTAAATTAGCTTAATACATGTTTTTAATACATGATTTTAGTTTATTATATTTGGCCATTAAAAATTGTAATAAAGGCTGGGCCATATTAAAGCAGTTATTCGCTTGCCCATAGCCAACAATGTAATATAAGCTTTCCCGTTTTTTATTTGTACCTCTCTGACGTACTCCTCCTGCTCCTCCCTCAGCGTGAGCTCGATGAAGATCTGCTGCAGTTTTTCGTTGCAGTAGTTTATGATGAACTGCTCAAAGCTGTTGTCCTGGAAACACCACCGAAAGGAAAAGCATTAGGCACTAAAAGTGATTTATAATTAAAAGTTACAAACATAATTAAACACCCAAATTATATTCAACTTCATAAATCAAATGATTTCCCTACCTTTACAATGAGAGGAATTTAAATTTAATTAGAGTTAATTGGAAATATATATTTTTAATTTTGCCCTCTGGATACAACTTTGATTCAATTATTTATGATTAAAATGTCTTCCCAAATGTTATACCATGAAAGTATTGCTTTGATTCTGTGAGGATTAAATATATGGCATCTTTATCTGTAGGGCTACATAACTATAGTCCTTGTTCAGTTTTGCATGATAGTTAGACTTAACTATGGATGCACTGATACAGCCTTTATACTTCCGATACCAATTTCGATACTGTAACCTTAAGTATCTGCCGATACCCAAATTGGCCCAAATCAAGATCCAAAAATTATGTAACTTATTTAATTCTAAACTAAGTACAGAACAACTGCATAAATAAAAGATAAAACATCATGCCACTTGTATATATACAATATTCAGTGTATGTAGTCAACCAGAATATCATATGAATGTATATAATATATGATATATTTCTAGGATCAGCAACGATATCCAATAGCAGTATCAGACGGGTGCAGTAACCATTTGATTTAAAGAACTTATCTAAAAGTAAACACTTTTACGGGGCCATGAGTATAATTAAACCATTTTAAATCTGCAATTCCAACACAATACCACAGTTAACCATTGTATCATTACAATCAGTGTATTTCTTTTATTTCATTGTTTCATTGTTAACATTGTGACCCATTATGGCCAGTGAGCTTCTAGTCTGATGAAAGCTGAATTGATGGGTTAGAAAAGCAAGTTAGGTTAGACACTCTTACACAGTGAAGAATATACAAGTGTATTTTTCAGATCAGGAAATAGATCAGGACATAAAGTTGTTAATGTTAAGGGCTTGCCCTCCATTTCCTTTTACTGAGAAATCGCTATGTCTTCTTCACTCACACACACACACAAAATAGCAAATTGACACGTCTACAGCCAGCTATAGATCCCAGTGGCAGCAAAGACCAAGCTAAAATACTGTCCAACCAACTCGAAGCGTCATAAAAGTACAGCAATAGCTTCACCTTTTTATGGCATACTGTTAATAATAATTTAAGGAAGTAACAAACAGGCTGCTGGCGTTTTTTCTGTAGCTCTGTTGACTCAGTGACTTTATGGAAAGAGGGTGAACCATAAAATATGATAGTCATATTTTAAATCCATGTTTTATGCATTGGGAGTGGGGGAAAGAAGAGACGAAGCGCTGACCATGCCTACATGCTCTTGTTGCGTTCATACAAGAATTTAAATGGGGCAAATCCTTGTCTTGTTATTATCATGTCAACACAAAACTGGTGTAGTTGGAGAAGCAACTACATGGAGAGGATAGCTTGAGACAGGCTGTTCTCATTCACATGCATTAGTCAAGTTTACAAAATAGCATCTACTTCATCTATAAAAAAAACTAAGGCTGGTCAATTTTGGAATCAGATTTTTTCTGACAAGTATTCATGCATTTGAGCTTCCTGTTGAACATTTTGAGGACTTTTGACTACATAAGTTGTTATATTTTGTTTTGGATTGTTAATCATTACGGAAACGATGCTAACTTTTAATCACTTTGAAACCCATGGGTCGTAACTGCTATTTGATTTACTATGTATTTCTCAAAATATCAATTTAATTAGGCAGTGCACATTTTAAACTAATGCAGGTAATACGAGAAGATTCTATTTGATATTTTTGTGTTTGTAGGCCATTCAAAGATAGTGAGGCTGGTGCTACCTAGTGGCTCCTCTCAATTTCATTTCCATTCAGTGACTAGGTCAGGAATTGAAATATACTGGAATTTTTGCAAGAACCCCGGAAGTTGTAGACTGCACACCGGCCAATCAGCTGTGAAACCAAGACGTCAAACTCAAATGCCTGTCAGGGTCCCTTTTGTGGTACAACACAACAGTAAACAAAGCGGTCGAGATGGATGTAGACGAAGCCATACATTCTGTGTTGGCAACGATTCCCGAGATCGAGGATTTAAAGCCAGAACAAAAAGAATGTTTGGTGAATTTTATCAAGGGGAAAGACGTTATCGCCCTTCTTCCTACAGGATTTGGTGCATTACATACACCATGACCAAATAGCAGCAATTGGTTAAATAAAAAAAGTACCCGCCTACCGTCGAGCAAACGAATCCTAATGCTGTGACGTCAAACGGTTTTCATGAAGTGAAACCGGCTCATAAATCGGGCTAATTCAAAAAGCAATTTCAATGAACTTTGATTAATCTTATAACCCTAATAAAACCCTTTCTCATATGCTGCACACCAGGAGTCCTACAATGACTTTACTACACAGCAAAATTAAACCGCAAAGCATGCACACTGCAAACAGGCTGGCCAGGTGTTACTTACTCCGTCCTGGTGACAGACACAAAACAACAGTTACAAAAGACTTAAGAGTGAGTGGGTGAACAAGCAGGCATGTCAAAAATACACAAATACATGAAGGGGAATATATAGAACAGGCAGTATATGTAATTCAAGTTTAATAGTAATGAGTGACTTTTAAAACATTCATAACATTACATATGGCCATGGTCAAATAATATAGCAGAAGATGTTGGTGAATTAAAAAGAGTGTAAAACTTTTTAGATGGAATAAAATCAGTTCAGTTGTTTCTACTGGACAAAATTCAACAACAATATTCATCACAATCACTACATTTGAAGCTTTATTAGACCTCCAAATCTGCAAAATGCTTTATACTCTTATTTCATACTTGTACATTTTTAAACAGGTACTTTACTACTTTTACTTAAGTAGATCATTTCATGTGATGCTTTTACTTTTTTGTCCTGGCATCTATAGTTTTGCTAAAGTACTTCTTCCACCACTGCAGGAAAGGGTAAACTAAACTGTAGAAAAGTGTACGTCCACATTTTGCTTCCAGAAAATAGTAATGATTATGCAATTTGTAATTTTGTTGTCCGTTTCCTGCATGTTTCTAATTCCTTTTATATACACTACCAGTCAAAAGTTTTTCTAGTTATTTATTGCATTTAAAGTTGTTCAAGTCCAATGAGTAACTTGAAATGGTACAGAGGTGAACTGAACAGCCAGAGGTTAAAAAAAGATGAAAGATAAAAAGTCCAAGCTCTGCCAAAACTGCCTCAGGAATAAAGAACAAGATGATAAGCTTGAAAACATGGAGTGTCCAGCACAGTGTCTAGACTTAAGCCCCATCGAGCTGGTTTGGAATGAACTGGACAGAAGAGAAAACCAAGCAACCTACAAGTGCCACACATTTATGGAAACTTCTGCAACAGACTTGGGAAGAACTTTCTGAAGAATATTTGATTTATGTTGTAAAAAGAAGGAGCCACGAGTGTGTTCAGCTGTTATATCTGCCAAAGGTGGACACGTTCATGAATCAAAAGTTTGGAATATGTTTTGGTCAACAGTAAACAGTAAACAGTAAAAAAAAAAAAAAAAAAAAAAAAAGTGTGGTGTTCTAAAACTTTTGACCGGCAGTGTATAATTTAAGATGTTTATGCCTCCCCATGCACTGTTTCAGATGTAATCTTTTTTGGAAGACTAACTTTATACAAAATACACACATTCTCCAATGAAGTCTGCATATTAGAAGGCCATAATTTTATGTCTGATTAGCAATCAGTGCTTATATATACGTACTATTATGCCTTACCTCAAATATCTCAAAGCCATAGATGTCAAGCACCCCCATTACTTTGTGTCTGGTTTTGGCCTGGGCCTAAAGAGAGAAATTATACTTCAATTATTCACCAAAGAAGAAACACATTTTGAAACCATTTTGAAAAGTAAAAAAAAAATCATGACTTACTTTGATGCTTTCATTGATTCTTGTAACCAGCCAGCTAAACAGGCGGCTGTACAGGTTTTTGGCAAGAGCATCACGGGCGTAATAAGCCTGTATGAGACAAATGAATATTAATAGAAGTACTACCTACATAAGAAGGTAGTCCATGAGTGCATCTTAAAGGTTCTATATTACCCTTTTTCTCTGATCAATTTTATAATACCGTTTCCCCATCAAAAAAAAATAAAATTTTGTATGTTTTATTTCTTTCACACTTCTGAGTTTTTCTCAACACTCTGTTCCATCTAGTGATGTCATGTGTGCTCCACTGTGTTTTTTAAGCTCCATACTTCACTAGAACAATTTGGATCATTTCAGTCCTGGAATTACCAAGCTCTACAAAAGGTAAAAGGTAGCTTGTAGACAGACTAATACAGGATTACTCAAACATGTGACTGAAAGAAACAATACAAAACAAAAACAAACAAACAAAAAACAGTTCCAGTTATGTTGAGGAGATAACAGCATAATAATATGTCTTAAAGCTTACAAGACTAAATTTTGTGTAATATAGGACCTTTAAGTTCATAAAAATAGTCAAATTAAAATTGTTCTTTCCATGATGTAAACAGTTTTAATCAAATTTAAATTGACAGACAAGAACCGGTCTGGCAAGTCAACCAAATTACGTTTTTTATTTCATGAGAAAAAATTAAGATGTTCCCAGTGGATTTCAGTTTGGTTTCTAAATGGCAAGGGGTAAACAGCAGTTTATTGAAATTTGACATATGACATCAGATTACTATCCAAAGAATGCAATATATTTTAGTTTACACGTTATTCTATTAAAAAAAAAACAGGCAACTAATGGTATTTTGAGGAAGAAAGTATGACTAAAACACATTTGAGACCAATTTTTTCTACAATACAAATACATCAAATCATTAAAATAGCCAACATTATGATGATAATTCTAATAGCCATTTTCTCATTATTGTTGTCAGATTATGAACCTTAAACCTATCAAGTGCACTGGGTAAAAACTATCAGCCCTTTTTAGTTTTAAATGACAGTCAAGAACAAAGGAATCTTCATGGAGACATTTCAACAAACAATACATTTATTTATACTAGATCAAATCAACCCATAAACATCTCTGTCTAAACAGGCTATAGTCTGTCACTTCTGTGTCTGAACCAACCTCTTAACCTACATTCGATTTCCAGGAGGAATGTTGCTCATTTATAATAGAGAGCTTTTCCTTTAGCACTGACTGGATGTGATTCGGCAGCCACTGAACCCAGCCAAGTGTAAGCAATGGCCCTTTATCTTTCCACTCTGTATGTGTGTAGCAATGCATGAACTGTATATATACTATGTGTGGGGGAAACAAGGTGTCATAAGTAGGGCAGAAATGCATTGGTCTTATGGTATTACTCTGCAAAAATGTATTTTCAGGTTAATGGTGTAAGGTAGAAGTTTCATCATCTGTCTAGTGCTCTGATGATGTGAACATGCCTGAATCAGCCATTGATGATGGGGATGCACTGATCCGATAATATAGCTTTAAGTATCTACCAATACTCAATAACTCAACTACAACTAGTCAACTGAACTGATATTTGGAAACAGATATATGATCCAGCAAATTCTGCGTTATCGATGCTGATATCCCTAATTGATGATACTAATAACAACAGGCACAAATTGTTCATTTTTACATTATTTGTTTCAGTTCAAGTCAATCGTCCAATCAAAAAGGTCCTTGTTTGGGGTTTCCAGATTCTGTGGCTGAATTGTAACATGGGATTGAAGTAATGTTTTTACATGCATGCACACTACTATTACTTATACTTTATTATTTGAGTAACTTTGAGGTACAGTTTTAAGTGGAAGAACACATTTTGCTTTTGTTTAGAGTGCAACAAGACTTATTCCTTTGGCTATTTTAATAACTTCTTATCTTTTAGAGTGTAGCTTAGTTGTGAAAAATGCTAGTTTGGGCTGACCTGTGCCACATTCAGAGTGGTGGACACTTTCTCCATTTTGGCCTCCACTGTGCGGTAGCTGAAGGCTCTCTCTAGAACAGACTGCTCGATCCCCAGCAACTCACACATCTCCTTCAAATCTGGAAAAAAGAATAGTGAAATTTGAAATACTGATTTAGAATTTTAAGGTTAGTGAGATGCTAAGAGAAGGAAGTCAAATGCAGTACTCAGCCACTCCATGTATTGGCTTAAAAGTTTCTTTTGTTACTTTGTACAATTGAGTTTTTGTTAAAGACTATAATTAGCAAATAGCAAAATTATATATTATGTTTTGCCTGTATTGATACAAAACATTATGATTTTCATTACAATGCTACACAAGTTTATACAGCGTGTACTTTTGGAAACTCTGATGCAATAAAAAACTTAAGCAATTAGCTTCAACTTTCATATAAAATGTATTAAATGACACTGACTAGGATGCTCTTAGGTCACAAATTAAACATGATTATACACTAACAGCTTCACGCTTGACCTGGTTTGGTTTACATTTGATCCCAGTTCAGTCTGGTTTTTCACTAAAAACAAAAATATTGGAAGACCAGATAAAAAAAACAATAATAGAGCATAGGAGTGGTTCTTTACATGGGACAGATCACTGTTTCTGTTATGGCAGGAAATATGGAAATGTTCCATTTGCCTAAAGAGAACAGCAGTGGGAGTGTTGGGGCAAACAACCCTTGTCAAACAAATCATAAAATCAAATGTGTTTCGTGACAAAAAGGCAGAAGGCAGTAGGACAGCCACCACCAACAGGGGGCAGTGCTATCTCCACATCAGTGTGACCACTGACTTGAAAGGAGGATTCAGGTTCAATGTTTTGTGTGTATGCTTAGTGTTAGATGAAGTTTGTAGGTTTTATTTTCAATACTGTTAAAGGTACAGGGTGGAACTTTATGGAGGTGGCAGGTCACCTGCATAATTCAAGGAAACAAAGTTAAAAGCATATTTAGGAAATTCGGTTTTATGGAGATAGATATGTTTTATGCCACACCGTGGAATATTATAGCAGAAAGAAGATTTCCATGGAAACAAGCAGGAGGAGGCCTATAGTGGCCTCATCCAGCCCAGCTATGAATCAGGTTTGTGGAGATGCAAGCCTGCTCACTTTAAGGATGCATGTTTTTCTGTTTTTCTGTGTAATGAGTACAAAAATAAATAAATACATAAATCAAGAAAGGTTTCTATTTCAGTCTACTCTTAAATTATTCTATTCTATGTGAGGTACAAAGTATGTCAGAAATGCAGACATTCCTATTATATCTATGCCTAAGCAAACATGGATTTCAGTCCAAAACTATGAAAAATCTCTTCTACATACTGGAAATAAACTGACCGTTTTTGTCCTTGATGCGACTCTCGTCGGTGCCATTACAGCGAGACTCTGGTTTGAACTCGATATTTCCTAGTTTTAAAACTGCAGCCACCAGCTCGAGAACAGACTGCATCTCATCCTCCATGAAGCCCACGATCTGCATGGCATTCTGGGAACAGGGAAATACACACGGAATAAATAAACAAAAAAATTATGTAGGGCTATCAATTTGTCACATTGTAAAACATTCAAGATCCAGTTATTTAAAGGGCCCATATTACACAATTTTCTGATCTAAGTTGTAATGTTGTTTCCTCATCAAAAACATGCAGTTGTATTTTTCCAGTTTCATTCACACATGTTTAACACACAAATGTTGTGTTCTTCTCTCAAACAGAAAACATTCTGGAATTGCCGATCTTTCTGAACTAAAGGTAAAAGTAGCTGATAACTTGAAAACTACCAATCCATGACATACAGGAATGTTTTTGATGAGGTAACAACATTATTACATGGCTTAAAGCTCACAAGAACCCATTTTGCATTAATTATTTGACAGAAATTCACCCATAATTATCTTTTGACTAAGGTTTACCAATATTACATTTAGCACAAGTTTTCTACATTGGAAGTTTAAAAATGTAGTTAAATGCACTTATTAGACCCTTGATAAGCACAAACATTACAAGTGACTTATACGTGCCACTGTTTGACCTGGCGGCACATATCGTTGCCAAAACCACCATTGTATAGTGGAAATGTTCCCTTGTTTAGTTTTTCCGGAGTGGAAAGACAGCTGTACAAGTGAATAGCCTAAAACCCGGTGGGGGTGACAGGATAAACAGGAAGTAGAGTTTATTGGGGAGAAAAATCCAGGAAATAGATGTGTTGTATTCAAGTGGTGTTACATAAGGACTCTATAGTTTAAAACTGAGTGGAGGGCAGGTCAGAATTCTATGATAGAAAATGTTTAATCCATAATAATCGTCTCTATCTGCATAAAGTAAGAAGTTTAAAATCTGTAGCATTATTCAATCATATATGCAACTGTAAAAGACAAAGGACTACACCACAACTTTAATATTGGAACATATTCACTGCAAAAAGTAAAATTTTGTTTAAAAAAAAAAAAAAAAAAAGTATATATATTAAATAAAAAATACTTGAAATAAGGCATTTTTTATTTTTATTTCATTTTTTTGTGGTTGGTTTTGTTTTGTTTTTTAAAATATGAAAATACATCAAGTTAAGCTTAAGTTCCAAAAAAATAAATAAAACTATTCCATTGGTAGGTCAAGTCGAATCTACTCAAATTCAGGAAAATATGCTTAATCAGAATAATCTGAATTTACCTAAATATATATATTTTTGCAGCATTGGAACTAAATTTACATAAAACATTAGTCTTTATTAGTCTGAGTTTTAGTATTACCTCACCCTTAGAATAACATTGACCTATATGCCCTCTATGTGTAATTTTGACAGCAAACGTTATAATGTAAATACGCCTCCTGGATGTAGTGTCATGTGACTGTGACTTGTGTCTGTTCCTCTCCCTCAGACACCACATGCTTTACTTTAGAGCATCAGGGAGGACACTCAGAGCACGTGGACTCAAAGAGACACAAAAAAGCCTTGTTTTAAAGCAGGAGGATGGAGTGAAGGAGGAAGCAGCTGCCTTTTCTCAAGTGGTTTTCCCCAAAGACGAGCTCCAGGCCTCTGTACACATGCCCCCTGGTTTGTTATATGTTGCAGATGTTTCCTTATTGCAATGTCAGCAAATACAATGTCTAAATTTGTGATAATATGATACAGCATTGGGACAAATATTTTCGTTTAGAATAGTTGTTTAGGTTTTGATCAAATAGTACACAAGTAGAGAAATATTTTGGGTGAAGCAAAGGTAGATAGAAAATGAAAAATGGTCCCAATTTAATAACAATAATGTGTTTGATATATATACTACTTTAAAAACTCACACAATACATTAATTCTAGGCAAAGTGTTTGAAGAGTCTTGCCTAAAGACACAACAACTGCAAGCACAAGGGCCTCTCCTGTCCCACTTTCCCTTTCGAATTCGTAAATATTAATAATTAGACATTTAATTATACACACATTTTATATAGCAGTTTTCAAGACACTTAGAGTTTCTAAAAGTAACTGTGTTCCAAATGTGTTCAATCCTATCAAATCATAATGCACAGTTTAATTGCCGATTAGGTTTCTCATTTCTTGCAGCTCCTCCATCTGTTTAATCAATACAAATCTGCCTCTTTGAGCTCAATTTTAACCTTACTTCCTGCGCAAAGTCCCCTGGTTTGGTAAACAGGTGTGAGGGAGTCTGTTTTCATAATAAAGAGGAGTGCTTTGTGAGATAAAAGAGGAAATTAAAGTGTATGGATTTAGATTAACCCAGCATGAGGCAGCAGCAGCTAACAGCTAAGCTCTGAGTGTGTGTGTGTGTGTGTGTGTGTGTGTGTGTGTGTGTGCGTAATGAGATTTGACTTTCTAACACACTGGCCGAGGTTTAGCACGTCTAGCTAAAACGATTTACTCAAACAATATGGGGTTAAGGCTGAATGCAGGTTAGTGGTACAAGGTGGGTTCAAAGCAAGAGCAAAAAGCACTGAATAAAGTTGCTTAAAACTGTTTACATATAGCAAGGGTAAATCTTTAAAGCTGTACTCACCAGATAAAGAAAAGCATTTAAACAAAGTGAATATTGAAGTAGTGGGACACTGCATTTTCAAATTAAAGTGCTGGAAGCCCTTGTGTCATTGACTGTAAAGACTGTAGTGCTGTATGTCTGCTGACTCAAATAAAGCAGTGACACAATATGGCAAATGATTTGATTTTCTCATTCTGATCTATCACAATTTTTTTATTTAAATGTACTAAAACAAATAAAATAGCTTCATCTCCTCAACTTAAACAATACAGACTTTTAATCATTACTATTTAATGCAATTAAGAGTCAACTTTCTTGTTCTGCCATCTGCAATTCTCTCCAAACCTCATGCTTTTACTAACAGAGGATTGGTTGTAGACCTTTGATTACCACTAATAAAAAAAAAAATCATAATTAGTGATTGGATGTTCATTTATTAAAATTCCAGCCCATCTGAAAAATGTGAGATTCACTGGTGACTAGACTCACATCTTCATAAAGTATTGAAGTAGTGCTCTGGATTCCATGCAACTGAGAGCGCAGAATGATTGGCAAATAAACTACAACATCTTATGTGTAAATCTGTGTATCATTCGTTCATTCATTTTTGAAAATAAAACCAGAAATAAGAAAATGAAAAAACAACTATTTTCTTCATTATTTGTCTCGAAAACAAATAAAGATTCATTTTTTTCAGTTATCAATTTTCCATTTAAATGATTAATTGAAAAAAAAAAAAAAAAAAAAAGCATAACGACCGTTTCCAGTTTCCATTAACTAAACTACGATGCCGGATTTTTGCATCGCATACGGACTGAACCAGGACCAAATTAGGACTAAACCAGGACTAAACCAAGTCCAGGACCAGACTGAAACCAGACCAGGACCAGACCAGGACTCAGACCAGGACTGAGACCGGGGCCAGAACTGAGACCGGGACTGAGACCGGGACCAGAACTGAGACCATGACTGAGACTGGGATCAGACCAGGACTGAAAATGGTTTAGTCCTGGTTCAGTCAATTTCGCGGTGCAAAAGTCCAGCATTGCAGTTCTTATTTTGGTTTTATATTGAAAAATGAATGAACGAATGATAAATATATTTGGGTACCATACAAAGAATTTGTTGCCAAGTCCTCAGACCAGATTTTTGAGGGCATGTAATGTAATGTAATCTTACTGCCTTTTGGTATAACTGCATGCTCGACTGTCTCTTCCATCTTAAGTTAGCAGGCTATTCTCCTTTACCTATATATAACACTTACTCTGACGGTCCTAAAGTTGGCTGCATCGTCCAGTCCATTGACCGCTGCAGAGTCCAGGCTCAGATAGTTGTATTTACTGAAGTCTCTCTCCAGCTTCAGTTTCTCTGCGACACAAAAACACACGGCATGTGGTTATCGTTTCAACTCAATTTGTGACAATTTAGGTGTCATTGACTTTACATGCACTACTGCTCGTGTGGGAATTCACTTTTACCTCAAAGTCTTTACAGATAAAACCCAACCTTGAACTTTTTTCAGATCTAAGTTGCTTTGCGCAAATAGCAGGCTTCTTTTAAATTGTGGTACAAATTTGTGTAACCTTGAGGGCATTGTCACTCCTAACCATTTCAGTATATGTAGTCATAAAGCTGTGGGTCTTTGAACATTATTGCGGTAGATCAAATGGCGTCCTTTAAAAGCACCTGATATAGCAGCTAAGAAATCCATTCTCCTCACGAATGCATGTGTCAGATTTCATTAGTGCTAGCATTAACTACAACTGAATCAAGTCTGTGTAATGTAGCAACGAGGAGTGAACAACCAAGGATAAGACACTAAAGGGTGTTAAGTGTCTTTTCCGTAACTATATCTTAAAATTTCTTTTCTTAACCATATTGGTCCTAAAAATGCAAATGTTTGTTTCAAAATGTCAAAATGTATAAATAATTGCAATATGCATTTGACTAAGTATGCACCTTTTATCGTCAATACATTATATGTTAATGGTGCGCAGTATAATATTTCAGGTGGAGGGTCCGCCACCTGCTTGTATCCATGGTGATGTTCTTGCATTACCTGGAAATGTTCCATATATGACTGAGGAGTGGACATTTATTCAATTCGAGGTATTTTTATTGCTCATAAATACCTGGAAAGACTTTCCAGGCAAAGCAGATAACATCCATGGAGACAAGTTGGACAAGTTTCAAATCCTCCCTCAGAAACCATACAAACAACATAGTCCTCCTTTAAGGGATTTTCTGTAAGAATTTTTAATGTCCCTTTGCCATCAAAATGATATTATTCAACTACATAGCTGTGAATGTAGACAAAGCAGAAGAACCCAAGACTAAAGTAAAAGTAAAAAAGTAAATGGTCACAAAATGTTTCATTTGATTTGGACTTGTTTTGTAATGAACAGAGTTTGTCACATGTGTTCATTCATAAATCCACAGTGTGTATATGGAGCATAGCAAACACAGCGAGGCAGGTTGAGCAATGTGCTCCTTTGTTCTGGCCTGTGTTTTTGAAGCAGGAAGAATGGCTCACTAATGCATGAGACATGTGCTGCTCCAGCTGCAGGAAAGCCCAGTGTACGGACAGAAGATAACATCAGGACAAAGAATGGCACGCTCACTCAGATGAATTATAGTAAAATGCTAAATGTTTCCAATAGACATAAAAGAGATTCAAATAATAAAATTGTGGCACATTTTACACAGTGGGTATTGCATCGAGTTGTTTTTACTTAAACCACTGTATTGATCTTATTAATTGGTGAAAATATAGTCGTTTTCATTTTTGCAAATCTTTGGATACTTTTTGTGTATTACATTAGTTCTATTGACATTTAAATGATTTCAGTTCAATGAGGTTAATTTCATAAAACCCAAAATCAAAACATGATGCCCATAAGACTTCACATATGTTTTATTTAACCATGAGAAAACCAAACAATGTAAGTACCCCAGCCCATCTTTTGAGAATTACTGATTAGGTGGGATTAGATCAATAGAATTTTATACTACATGTGTGCTGTTGTCTTGTGTTGTATTGTCTTACTGAGAGTGTCATCTGAGGCGCCAGACAGAAGCTGGTAGAAAATGTGGAAGTTCCTCTCTCCTCTTGGCTGCTTCACAACACGAGACTTCTCCAGTAAATCTAAATAAAGGAATGACAATATAATGAATACAGGACATAGAGTGAACACAATAAACAATACCAAGGAAAAAAGTACAGAAATCTATATTTAAAAGCAATGTGAGAAGATGCAAGGAACAGTCTCTATATATACAGTATATTAGGGCCCAAGCAGTCATTTATAGGCACTTTTATTTCAGGGCTAAATGCTCTATTGATTGAACCACAAATCCCATACACCTCAGTGAAAGAGGTACTAAAAATAAGCTTCTAAGTACTTAAAGATAGCTGGTCCCATTGTAAAGAGTCTTGACCAAAAATATATGGATTCTAACTTCCTGTATGCAACATTTTTTACCCCATTCAAAAAGATATACATTGTCTTAAACTGTTAATCGTTACGGGCGATGGTCCTAGATTCTCAGCATTCTAAAACCTATGGATATACAGATACAATTCCAGTATCCCATGCCAAAAATGATTGAAAATGTCACCATATTAGAAAGTGTCAATATGAAGAAAAGAATCCATGAAAATATAAGTGCTTAGAAATTAAAGTCAATTTGAATCTTAATCCATTTTTGTTGGATAATATTTCCATTCTTTAAATTACTCTTATCGGTTTCTCTAGTGAAGGGGCGAGTGCTTATATATATATATAGAGAGAGAGAGAGAGAGATACAGTAGGAAGGACACAAGACATAAAATGAACAGGATCTCCGATGTCAGCCCTTTTGTCTGGGCAGCTGACCAAGAGCAACAACTCACTGATTAAAACGGCAACCTTTTTTTTTTTAAACCACATTAGGGTAACTAGCATTAAATGATAGACCCAATATATGAAGTACTTTATTGGTTTGTAAAAATAACTGACTTCAATAAAATATGCTGTAGTGTATATGCAGCAATTTTATTAGCAATTCAACAATTTTTAAGTTAGAATTTGCAATCCAATTTTTTTCCCTTGTTGAAAAGTAAGGTCAGTGGATGCTCTGGGAATGCTGGTTAATCTGCGTGGATCATTTTCTAACTGTTTGTTGGTTCTTCAAGGCGACTGCTGTTTGTGATACCAAAAAAATAAATAAAAAAGCGCAAAAGCATGTCTAATCGTGCGTTGCAACTGCTTCCATATAGCACCGTGTCTGTAGTGGATAACACAAAGAGGGAGACCCCATCCTGTCAGGTTTACCACAAAGGTCCAGTCTGAAGGAGAGGCCCCACTGGCCCCTCGTCACATAAGTGGTCCCAGAGCATCAATAATAAAACAAGTATGACTTTAATACATTTATCCAAGAGGTGGAGGAGAGCGATGGAGGACAGTGGTCAAGAAGAAAGGGCGCTGAAAGATTTACAAGCATGTCTTAGTGCATTTGGACATTTCTAACAAAAGACACTTGAGGAAGATATATGTACGTTTGTAGGTGCCATAAAAGCATGATTTATTGGCTGAAACTTGTAGAACAGTGTTAGGGTATTTATGCATTTTTGTGTGTGAAGGTTATAAGCTGCAATGTTGATAAACTCTTAACAGAATTTTGTTCTCCAGAAACAAGACATCAATAAAATGTGTGAAATTTTTTTTGTTGTAGGCACTAAACCTGATCACTATTATTGAAAAACATTTGTGATTTTATCTACACTACACTAACAACAACATTCAAGCATATTGTCTTGCACATTGCCTTAATATAAAATGACTTGATCTCACATGTCTGGTAAATCCCTTTAGTCAAAACATCTCTATTTTTGGAGATGATTTATTCCATATAATCAAGGTACTTCCTGAAACAAGCAGAAACATCTTAATACATTATGAATAAGAGCCTTGTCAGCATAAAATCTCCATTGCATTTTTAAAGCTGCTGTGAAGACGCATAGCCACAATATTCTATTTGAACAGTACATACGTACATCTATAATCTGAGTTGAAAACTTAAAGGAAACCCCCAGGGCTTAAAGAAGATGTATGGTTTTTTCTTGTTCATAGCTTGACACATCATAATTTAAACTACAATATTAATCTTAAAACACTTCATAATCATATCTGGTCCATTGACTTTATGGTTAAACTGCTGAGCTGCTTTACCGGAAGTGCTTCCTGCCTATGGATACTTGCAATTTACGGGGTAGCAAACAATGGGTTTGTTTAACTTTTGCCAAAATTGCTACAATCAGGGAGAAAATGAAGCAATGATCGAATGCAGTACAATAAAGATAAACATAAACATCCATAAATAACTCAAAATACAACTTGAGTTAATGATGATAGATAAACTAATAAAACATAAAAGCTTAAAAGCTCTTAAAGATCAGGATTTAAGTCCGCTTTAATAATGAACTGAGCAGTGACATGGTGCTCTCCATCCATCCATCTGTCTGTGTGTCCCGGGGCAGTCAGTCACATGTCAGCGGTCACTCTTTACAGACTGGGGCTTGTGTCGGGACAAGCCAAAACACAGAGGTCCAGTTGTGTGGGACACTCTGCTCCTCTCTTTGTCTCTGTGACCTCTGGCACTGTCCAGCAAACACGCAACTATGTGAGTCAACACGAGACTACAACTGCATTCCACATACACACTGTTTACAGCCTTTTATCTGACTTTAAAGACATAAGTGATAAGAGTTCAATTGTGATAATCAGATAAGAGCACTTTAAAAATGTTAGACAATATAGTATTTGTGTAGCAGTATTTTCAAAAGCCAAATATTATTTTTTTAGTTTTATAATTATATTTCTATCCCTCCTTCATAACTTCCACTCAAGTATGTTTTCACTGATAAGGTGCAGAAGATGGTAGTGGAACTGTAAAAGTGACACTTTTTTTGCCAAGAATATATTCAAGGATAAATGATTCACACTCAAATGACGCCATAAATTCATAAATAGTCAATCATAAATAAAACAGACAGAAAAAAGGAAGCTGCAATTCTGCTATGAGAGTGTGCCACTAAATCCAATGTTAAACTGGCCCACAAAATATGTATATGAAAAATTATAACTAAATTGTAACTATGGGTCGTCTAGAGACCAGTTTTAGATATTGTGATTATCACTTTCTCATTCAAACTCCATAACAACCTCACAGAGTCAAAGGCCAAAAGATTTATCTTGATGGCATGTAAACAAAACCAAAAACGATGGCATAATCGTTTATCCTTAATCCTTAAGTTTTGAAAAGTTATTTCCAGGACAATGGGGCATTTTCAGCTCATCTCTTGGTAAACTCTGACCAACTACTGACCTCTTCCAGTAATTCCAGGATTTCCCAGGACATAAAGGGGATTACCATGAGTACATCAAATAGCCAACACTGTATTGTATTGCACTGGAGAGAGCAGACCAACATAGAAGCATATTTTGAATGGCAATGCAATTGCACTTACAGTTACTGATGACTCCGCCCAGAGGATCTCCCTTGAAGTCAAACTCGATGTCCATGTACTTCCCCTGTAAATGAAATCATACATTAGAAAACGCAAATAAATAATTAATCATTTTTAATTAAAAAGTTTGCAGCTCTGTCTAATATTGTTGTATCTGTTTCTTCTGAGAGTTCATGCTTCACTGTGATTGGTTAAATCCACTTGTCACTCACTTGCATCATGACAAAAGCTAGCCAGTAGGGGGAGTGGGCGGGTACATGTTTGAGCTAAACCTTAGTGGTTCTCTCTTATGAATTTAAAATGCCTTTATTGATTTTGGCATTTCTTAAAACAGACCTGAACTCCAATGGCCCATTCACCAAAAAAGCACCTCTTAACTATTTTTACTACTTCTCATCAGTGCCTGGAGGTCCATGCTCTTTGTTATTGTCTGTGCTTGATAAAAACAAATCTGTTCTTTTTAGCTTTTGACCAAAAATGTAATGTCTTCTTAAGTGTATTTTGGAGATCTGCATGTTATTTCATTACTTTTATAATTATTGTTGCATACTGCACTCTGATCAAGGGTTTTAAAAGTGAAATAGAAATAAAGTTGTAATGTACTGGATTGCAGCATCGACACAAGGATCAGATTACCATCAGACTTTTATTGTTGCATTGCCTGTTTCATATTCAAAGCAATCATATTAAGACAAGTTGGTATTTATGATAACATCGGAATTCAGTGATTCCCATCTTGCAGAGCCAAATAAGTGACCCATGATGCATACAACAACATGTGATGCTGAAATGGGGCGTCCAAATTGGGAAAGCCCCCGTCCGGCTGGTTTCCTTTTAGTGGAGTTTAATGTGGCAGCAGGAACAGAAAGTCCTGTTCTCTGATGTCACTAAACTATTCAGCCAAACTCAGTCCTCCTCCACCCTGCACAAGAGAGAGCTCAGTGCAGTGGGCCAGCATAGGTTCATTCTGAGTGGGTTGTGCTTCTTGGGAGGAACTGGTTCAGAGCACAGCAGCTTCTTCTAGTGTGTTTCAGTTTAATTATAGACCCGGTATAGACCCGGTATAGACCCGGTATAGACCCGGTATAGACCCAGTTTAGACCCAGTTTAGACCCAGTTTAGACCCAGTTTAGACCCAGTTTAGACCCAGTTTAGACCCAGTTTAGTCCCTTTAGTCCCATTTCAGTCCCATTTCAGTCCCGTTACAGACTTGGTTTAGACCTGGTTTTACAACAAGATTTAGTAGAACTCTTGAGGTGACCTGCAGTGAACTGGGTGGAAGCCATTTTTTTTAAACCATATCCAACAGAAAAAATAATGTAAATCTCATAGCGGTATAAAAGTTAGCTGAATACAGAAGTAAAATTTGAGTAGTAAAAACATCACAAATAAATAATAATTGTTAAACTGCAGTGCCCAATGGAAGCACACGTTGCAGTAAACATCACCACAACAAAAAGACGGGATCTTCGATGGATAACTGTAGATCACACGAGCAGAAGATTTTTATTCATTTGTACCAAAAATGAGTACACAACACTGCTGAATCCTAGAAAGAAGTTAAGTACAGAGCAATAGGCGTATTGCCTAAAAAAAAAAAAAAAAAAAAAAAGCAATATGGCGTCTTGAGAATAAGTGATTAAAGATTGCTCAAACATGCACAAATCACTTCAAAACAACTTTGAAAGGGTAAATGAGAAGTTATAACATAGCTGAAAGTCAATTTGCATACTAGGTCTACTTTAACTTGCGTTATTTTCATCACTCACAAAACCAGCATGATCATTTGTTTTCACTTTTCACCCTTATCTGTCAATGTTTGTTAACTTTGAAAAGGATGACACAGAAGAGGACAAAATGTGCTTTCTGTTCAGATTTTTGAGCACAAGTTGTTTAGTTTATGTTGGCACAGGGCCACGTCAGGCATGAACAGGAGCACAGAGTAAAGGTCCTGGACTCTAAACTGCATGTAAAGACTATTAACAAAGTCCACTTCATATGAGCTGCTCTCATTTATTACATACACGCAGTAATGAGAATACAGGCAAGGTATAGTGAGAAAGTATTGGAAAGAAAGAACAAGGAGTGTATTAAAAGTCTCCAAAAGTGTGTAGACTTCTGTAAAGGTCCTGATTTATAATGGTAAGGGATATAGTTGATGTCTAGACGTGGATTTACATTTTCTGAATGTATTCATTATTTGAGAACAAAGGATAACAAGGAACCCTTCATAGACTTCCAGGCAGTGATGAATAGTAGTAAAAATAGTTAAAGGTGCTCTTTGGTAAATGGGACTGTCAATATAGAGAAATATATATATGCGGCACCATTATAAGGCCACCATTATAAAATTTTAAAATGCCTTCAATTATAATATGTCTGAATAGACCTGTGCCCCTTCAACTTTCAACATACTGGCCTTCAGCAGGTTTATTCATTTATTTATTTTTTATTAATTATTTAAATGTTCGAAATAGAAAATAGTCTTAACAACTTTTACACTTTAAATGCTTGTCAATTTACTAAATATTTCTTTTTATTTGTTCAGATTATGCATTACTAAATTTATAAGTCATAATATTACTTGTCAATATTTAGTTTAGTTTAGTTATTTATTTGAATAGGACAGTGTGAACATGCATTATGGACCAAGAAGTGTTGTAAATGCTTAAGACTTAAAAAAAAAAAGCTCTTTGAATGAATAAATCAATAAATACAAAAACAAACATAAAACTTTTAAAAAACAAAGATCACTTACACTTGAATGCAACTTGATTCAAACTTTATTGTCTATTTGCTATATCTGAAAACATTATCTTCTTTTTTCTTTGTGTGTAAAGTTTTAATACGACAAGCTCAAACTCGTGCATAAGTTGAGCACACAGGAAACTGAGTCTAGACTTACATAAAAAAAGTGGTTTTATGTCAAAATACCTCCAAGTCTCTTCTAACTGACATGAGAGGTGGTGCTCCCAGACCGCAGCAAAGGAAAGCCAAATATCCCACCATAACATTATATGGGAATTATATGTCTTAGTCTATAAAGTATGTGTAGATAAGAGCCAAAAGCAGAAAGGGAAGAGCAGGTTGGTTTGTATTACTATAATCTAGTGAAGTGCATCAGATGACAACTTACAAATCTGGAAGAGTTGTCGTTCCTGACGGTTTTAGCGTTTCCAAAAGCTGGAAAAAGAAAGAACAAAAAGAGATCATTAGGGGATTCATAATGTTTTTAAATGTTGAAGATTTGTAGATACAACTTGAGGCACAGGAGTCGCAAAACAAAAGAACAACGTATTTACCTGTATTTACATCAATACATAGAATTCACAAATAATTAAATGCAGAAATACACTAATGGGACTTTTCCTTGAGCGTGCTAGTACTTTAGATACGGTAAATTGCCCGCATACCACATCAAACTTGAGACAAAACTGACACCAACCCCCGTAACTAAACCTGGACTAAGACAGAACTAAAATAGAACTAGGACATGGCCAAATCAAGTCTACATTGTTTAAACCCTGGATTTCATTTGGTTCAGCAAGTTCGGTCACCACTATATAACGACCTCCTGAGCTGTCGTTTTGCGCCGCTTGTCAAAACCACTCGTCGTGATGAGGCTCCATAATTCTGTGTGGATTAGCACTAAGGCTCTTCTGGCTTAAGGGTGAACTGAACCTAAGTGCCACAACATGTCCAAGTGACGGGATCAATACTTTCCAACCATAAACAATAACAGACAGCACATGTGAATACACTGAATATACTGCTACGTCACTATGTTACTGTGGGCCGTATGCATGTACACTATGGTGAAGGTCATTTTCAAAAGAGGCAAATCTCTTGACAATATTTATTTAAAATTACAGAACAGATCCTTCTTATCTAGTACCATTTTGAAATGACTGTTCATCATTGCAGCATTTGTTACCTTGCACTATTTGTTACAAACAGGAAAATCCGGGATATTTTAACCTAATCTGAATTTTGAGACCCATTTGAAATCAAAATGCTTTCAGTGCCACATACAACACCGCTTTGTATTAAGACTAAGCTTTATTACAGGTATCAGCTGTTCACGGTAAGTTGAAGCCACTCTGTGTTCAGACAAGTGTGTGGGCTGCAGTTAGGCGGTGCAGCCACAGCCTCAGGGCCTGAGCGGCTATAAGAGAAAGTGAAGCACATAAAGAAAGGAAACAATAAAGATGAGCAAGAAAGTGAAAGCCCTGAGCAGCTGTGACATACATTTACTTTGTATATGAGGTAAGACGAATTTTTGAACAAAACTTTTTATGGAGTTTTTATGGCTGTACATGGAAACATTTAAACTGGGGCAACAGGTAAACGCATACGGTTAGAATAGCAGATGACTTGACTGGATCTAACCTAAACAACCATCACTACAGGACCTGGGACCTGGAGATATGAACCATCACGACATTGGGATGGTGTTGTCCATTTCATTCAAGTACAGTCCAGTCTGGCTTCACTTCTCTTGTAGGGAGTATTATACCTCTGATATCATAGGACTGAGCTGGCAATGAGTGCCCGAGTTACAGCACAGAAATGGAATTTTTCTAACAGGAAGTAACCAGAACTAAAGCAGGTCTTACATTTGCTGTGTTTAGACCAGGACTCTACACCAGGTGCAAATTAGGTCTGACATAGAAATGAATTAGGTCTAAGCCAAGTCTAAGCAAGTCTAAACCAGGTCTAAACCAGGTCTAAGTCAGGTCTAAGCCAGGTCTGAGCCAAGTATAAACAAGGTCTGAACCAGGTCTAAACCAGGTCTTAGCCAAGTCTAAACCAGGTCTGAACCTTGTATCTCTTCCAGTTTATAAAGAGGTTTGAATGTTTAACTCTGAGCAGATACATGAATTATGATACTTAGTTTGTGCTATAGTACTTTGTTGTATTGTTACTGATTTGTTTGTTTCCTCTTGCTGTATTTATGAAGACGAACTGGTGTCAAGATGATGCTCAGACAAAGGAATAAAGGGTAGGCATAATAATCTCAAGCTTCAGCCTACACCTTTTCGGTCTGTGTATGTTAAATATGACTGTCTGTGAAATAACATCAGACTATACCTGTGATCGAAATAAATCAATCAATCACTCAGTCTGAACTAGGTCTGAACCAGGTCTGCACCAGATCTGCACCAGGTCCATACAAGGACACAACTTGCCCAAAACCAGAACCAAAAACTGTCTAAACCAGGAATACCTCAACAATTACAGTGCAAAACTAGACACAACAGACTTAAAACAATACAACAAAACCCAAAGGAAAACTAAACTAACTTCACCATACAAAAGTCATGTACCATTGTGTGAGAATCCAACTGGCTGAAACTTAAACTTTCGCAGATGTCCCATTTCTCTGCAGAAGCCTGGCCTCTGTGTAACTCTTCATCATCGGTGGGTATTTCCTGTGTACTGCCTCCAATTAAACTACAGCTGCTTGTGTGCCAGCTCGTAGCTCGATGTCGTAGTAGGAAACACAGAAATACTCTTACACATGTGAAGGGAGGTGTGATGGGAAAATAAGAGCGGGTTTTAGGAGTTTGGGAATTTGTCCGACTGCTGAAAGTGCTTTTACTGCCAATTTATTCCAGGGCAGCCAATACATACTAAAATGGTTTATGTGCAACGTTTGACACTAAAAAGCATTACAGCATACAGGGTTATTGCATGAACTTTACATGAACATGACTGGGGTTTAATTTTAACTCAATCTGACCAAAATGAACTTGTGTGTGTGTGAACTAATATGTGCTTTGTGTCTCCATGTCGAAGAACCCCCAGTGTGATGTCACTGCAAAGTATAAACACATTATGGAGTGACTGAATAAGACACCAGTGCAGCAAATGTTGGATTAAACAACATTAAAACTGTCATTCATGCAAGATTACTGTATGAAATTAATATATTTTAGCCACAAGGAATAACTGCTCAGTGCCATTTTAGTTCCAGTTCCAAGGCTGGAAAATAGGCACCCAGTACAAAGCTGGACAATGTTATTACTTTTGGAAATGAATTTTGCAGTAAAAACATCAAGTGCAATGTTGTCTGCTCCTTTGCTAGAAAGTCTTTTTGGCTACAACTATATAGAAAAGGTTGGGAAAGAGTCATACAAAAATAGTTATGGAAGAAAAGTACATGTTTTTGGCTAACAGGAAATAATATCCATAAAGATGCATAAGCCAGAAGTGTAGATTACAGACTGTTGCATACTAAACCAGTTAGAAAGTGAAAAAAGTGTTATTATAGGCCTTGTCCACACTACGTATTCGAGTCATTTTCGTTGTGGATGCAGTGTTCGTCCACACTAATCCGGTTGAAAACGGCTCCAGAGACAAAACATTCTGGTGCCGCCAGCTCCCACAAATTCATCTGAGTACAGATCTGATCCGGCACTGTGTGGATGCCTGAAAACGCTGATGTAGTTCTATGTACCGTGAAGTAGCCAATTCACTGCCAAAACGCTAAGAGACTATCATATATTCATATATACAGTCTATGCGTATGACCTGCAGAGGTATAATCTCTGAAAACTTTCACATGAACCATCTCCAATGCGATGGAAGCACAGAACAGACTCACCATTAGCTGAACATCCCTCTGTCACAGAAAGAACACATATATTTCACTGAGTCGTGTCCTTTAGTCCGACCGAAGCTGAACCGCATCAACGCACAATAGTGAGCTGTTTGAGCGCTAAGTTTATGCAAATTAGCCATGCAGTTTTAAGTTTCGTTTCAGTAAAACGTAAACACATATGCTCAAAGCTGTGTGGATAAGGAAGGATTGCAGACACAGAAACGACTTGTGTGGACACAGATCGTTTCCGATACGGTGATACGCGGATTCGTTTCAGCGTAAACAGGGTCATAGAGTTCACCTCAACAGAATTATAGGCTTCTATCTGACATTTTATCCGAAGCTGAAAGTGAGTTATTCATATATTTTCATTCTTTTAAACAAATATTGTGTGACTTTTTTTTGGCTTATTTGGACAAAAGCGTATTTCCCCGTTGTTGTGCTCTGAGCGGTCAGAACTTTGAACCACAATATCTCAGAATTACCCAGGACACACACAGAATCCAATGTCTTACCAAAAAGGTCATGCCATCCTTGCCTTTGTAGTAGTATGTTACATTACATTAGCTTTGAGTGTCACCTTTTTATCTGCAAATCAAGCTTGAATTTAGTTCAGTTTGGGTCTACTCACCTTCTAGTACTGGATTGGACTGGAGCAGCTGTTCCTTGACCTTGTTGACCTCTTGACCCTTCCCACACACCGCAGCCACATATGACATCACCAGTTTACTGGCCTCTGAAATTGACACAAGAAAAAGACACAAAAGATAAATAATCAAACCCAAAGTTTCACACAAACAGTGACAGAGATGTTGGTACTGCCTGTGAAAAAGCCCCTGACATCACCTCTGACTCTACACACATGATTTCAGGGTGTGGGTGAGGTGTAGCGGTTCGAGCAGCTGAGTAGACAGACAGTAGACTTGACAAAACCACATCTTAATGACTATATACTTTACTACTGTTGCATCATACTTTCATCACCAAGCTAGCTCACAGGGAAATAAAGAAAATTGACGTAATTTCAAAGAATGTATATTTGGCCAACAATGGATTTTTTTTGTGGGTGTGAAGAATGTCTGGAACTCCTCCCTTATACATTCACATTTGTACATTTCTAGAAAAAATCTGCTAACCCTTTTGGGAATTTGGGTGTGATATCGTATGTAATTCAATGAAAGTATTGCATTTGCTGTGTGGGCACAAATTGAATCCTATTAGAAAAAAAAGAATAATCCTAAACATCTGTGATTTCGACAATTAAACCTAGCCTCTGCAAGGTTATTTGACGGCAGATGTGAAAGCTGTTCCCCCTTCCCCTCACCTGGCCTTTGTGCAGACTCACCTATGCTCTTTGCTTTTCTTTTGGCGGACTATCAAACGGCAGTAACATGTGGAATGAGTGAGTCTCCTGTGATGTTATATTGGAGGGGTCACACATTGTTTTCTTGTAAAGATTAACTGAATACTACTTATACTGATAACTGCCATAATAAAAGTACTTTATCAATTGTTTATTAAAATACTGTCGGCTGAGGTTTAGATCTCGTTTCGGACAATTGAACAGACACATACATTATTGAAATAAATAGGCATACAGCATAAGTCTACAAGCACAAACTGCTACATATCCCAAAAAATACACTTCACATAAAGACAAAGTGACAAACACATCAAAAACATGTTTCTGATTTCTTCTTAGTATCTTAACTCCTGGCATCACATTCGGGTCCGGTCAGATGACAGCCGCTCTGCTCTGATGCTCTGATGTAGTTAAGAATGTGCCAAAAAGGATGAAGAAAAGCTTTTGACAGAGGAGCAGAAATCATCCCGGCACGTTCACGGGTACATGCAGACGTTTTACAAGTGCGGAGGTGGGGTGTTCTGCGGAGTAATCTTGCTTTCATCTATCAGATTAGCAAAATAAACCTACCAAGATGTCTCACTCAGACAATAAAATGTTATGACTCTGGAAAGCTATGGTGCCGACTGATAGCATAAGTCACAGTCATGCATTTCTTAGTGAATGAGCCAAAGTTGCACAGAAATGTTGTGTATTTACAACGGAGCTAAAAAGTCAAATAACTTATGTAAAAACCTTACGTGAAATATCCAAATTCTCAGTGTTGTACGAAACACTACAAAACACAATTTGAATGATTTCCGACATGAAAAAAAAAAAAAATGCTCTCTGCTTTTACACTGCTATTACACAAAATGAATTCTTGTGGAGATTTTAGGAGATAATTTGATGATAGAGTATCGATATTTTTTTTATTTGTGTAAGAGCTACAAAAGTTTGACCTTTTCACCGTTTTGATGAGTAAAATGTGTGTTTTTCATATTAACTTTGCACAAAGTCAGTGGACTTAGTCGACTTTTAATATCACAGCCATGATTTAGCCATTTTTTCACTGAACTGTTCCGAATCAATGTGCAATATATTGTTTCAAATTGTATCGAATCAAAAGCTCACTGTATCAAAAAGCATATCGTAACATGACCTATTTATCGAGGTATCGTATCAGCAACTTCTTAATGATACCCAGCCCTAGTTGTTACCTCAAAAAAAAAACATACCTGGAGTTACGTTTTGTTTCATTCACACATTTTTGAGTAAACCTGGCTTATTAGTCCGTCTACATCTCCAAAGCTCAAAATGCTCTGTTCCACCTTGTGCTCTCAAGAGGATTCTAGTGAACGTGTATGAAGTTTACAAACACCAGAGAGCACTGACACAGGACATCATAAGGTGGATCAAAAAGTTTTCAGTTTGAGAGAAGAACTCATTTTAAATACGCAACATTTGTGTGTTAAACATGTGTGAAACTAAACAACACGCCAGGTATGTTTCTGATGATGAACATTATAACAGACCAGAAAATAGCATAATATGGGGCAACATGTAACTTTTCTGCTACCCGCTTGTCTCATTGAGTATGTTAATGCCCGGAATGTTCTATATTAAAGGCATTAAACTTACTAACTTGATGTGGTGGCGACAAACGAGATAGATAACATGGACAATAAACCAGTTACATATGCACCTTTAATAAACTACCATAAAATGCAGCTCAAGTTATCCAAAGTAACAAGTAACAAGTTTACTGCATATAATAATTTAACTAGTGACATTATCAGTACTGTCAAAACACTGCTTGTAAGGCAGTCCTACAATGTTTCATAGTAATATTTTAATACCTTTTCAGCTCTAAGAATGAAATAAGATCATTACTCCAATACGCCACTCCTTACTTTCATATCGTGCAGCTCAAGGGCGTCTGGTATTGATAAAGCACACTATATGAAAATATGAAAGCTCATTTTTGCGCAATACCGTCCACATGTTATTTCCCCCATCATGCTGGTTTACTCATAAGGCCTTCAAAGGAAATTCCATTCATTATTACAGCAGTAAGGTATGTAATATTCTTCCACAGTGTAAAGCAGTAGCTGGACAATAAAAGAATTTAGCAGTGATGTGTACATACGGAGAGGTTCTTTCATGTGCAACTGTAATTTTTTCAAGAAAGCCGTTATCAGCGACCTTTAGAGCTTATCTGTATGAAATCCCAGCAGTGGTTTAGTCAAGCAAGTTATGTCTACACTTTGAACAAACCTTTGTAAAGGACAGTGTGAGATAAGAAAGCATGACTGTAGCTACCTGGTGCAGGGTTTTCCACACATCTGATGCTTTTCTTTTTCGTAGCTTTTATCAAAAGAGCAACATAAATATACCTTAAAGGAACTGTAACTATGATTTTAAATTCTACAAACATGACCTTACTGTGTCCCCAGGTATGAGATAAATATGTTCGAATCAGAAGTAGCTTGAGTGCTGATTTATTCTTGATGATAAAAACATTGAAGATGGTGATCAAGCTATTTATGTTATAATTTGGAGTTTTGGTTCTGAAGATGATACCCCAGTCAGAAAGCAGAATGAGTTTTGCCCGTTTAAATGCTGAACTTGAGTTGTTTAAAACCTGAAAAGGATCTCTCTGCTGTACATAATGATCGTATACAGAGAATGAGAAAAACTATGTATGTTTCTTTTACTGGTTAAACTGTGATTGTAGTATCCGTTTTAAAAAATTGTAGAGGCAAATGCTGCATGCACTTCCTTTAAAATCATTTGAAAAGAGTCTTATAATAAAACATTCGTCTTGTGAATATGAGTATGTGACTATATTTTCCAGAATTGAAGATGGTAAAAATTATAATTTTGTTTAGCAATAAGTAGTGAGGTCAATAATGGGTAAATAATGATATGACAAAACTATAACAACTGCTAGTGTTGTCTATCCAGACACAAACGGCAAACGGCAGCTTCCAATCCCATATATTCATGCAAATCATTTTCTGTATCAAAGCGGAAGATTACTGCAGGAACAGATGCCCAAACCCATATGGTCCTCAATTGTGATAATTTATAATTTATTACGTAATTATAACCCTATTTAATTTAATTACCTGTTTTCCCTGCTCCACTCTCTCCTGTGATGAGAATGCATTGATCCTTGTCTTGGTCTCGTAGTGATCGGTAGGCTTCATCTGCCAGGGCATATCTGCAACACACAAAAACACAAAGTTTAGTAACTACTCATCTCCAAGTGGACTTTATTTAGACTTGGCTATTTTTGGTGACAAAACTCCATCGTCTGGTCCTGCCACATGGCGTCTGCTCTAATCAATAGCATGTGGTTTTATAGGAAATTAGGTTTCGAGTGTAGGACAACCAGTGAATCGTAGCCTTATTTTGCTCTGCTGGCCGCGTTAGCGTTTGGCTTACAGAAATGGAATAATGACAACTTCCTTTCCACGCTTGAACTCTTAACCCAATGTGATCAAAAGTACTGAAAACTACTTATTACTGCTTAAGGGGTACTTAGCTTTTAATCTGTTTACCTTGTCACTGCACAGTTAAAGATTATTTATTGCTAAGTACATTACAAGTACAGTTAAAAATATGTTTTCAGTAGGTAAAGGCAAGTAAGGATAGTTACTCCATCGAAGTTTGCAGTAGTGATGGACGATAACAGTGATATTTGTTTTGTTCTGATACCAAGTAATACTATGTTAAATATTGTAATATTAATCAGATAAAGTTACCAATGAGTTTTGTATTAAAAAGCATTAAAAATCACACTACTATAAATAACTTTACCTGTCATCTTTGCTCCACTCCAGTTAAGCTGACCTAGTAATTAAATATGTGTGCATATAAACTAATGTATAAGCACTGTTTTACAAAAATGTTATTGCAATTTTTACAGTACTGATATTTTGGAAAGAAGAAGCAATACTTTGATACTTAATAAATCAATCCATCCACCTATCATTATTTTGCAGTAATCAATATCTATCAATAATAAAATTCTTCAAATTGGTGTTAAGTTTATTCTCTTTTACAGCTGAACTTGCCTTGTGTTTCCCAATTAACAAATGTCTTGTAAAATATGTCACGGTGTGTTTGTGAATGATAATAGAGTTTGGGCCAGTCTTTAATAAAATGAAGGCTATTGTTGTACATTCCAGGACGCTGACACAATAGGGAAGTTGACCTGATAATGCGAGCCCTGTCCCACTGAAATCCCAAACAATATATTATTTGTTCTCTATATTCACTTTATCCTTTCTTTGGGTTTCAAAGTAGGGCGTGGGCAAGGTCAGCTGCTTTTAAAAGACATGTAGGGTGGAGTGAATTTATTATGATTTTTTAATTTTATTTACAATATTTGGCACATGAATAAAGTTCTGCAGTTTTCATATTGCACTGTCTCATTTATGCACCACATCTGGTAATACTGTGCACAAATCGCTTCCCCTTGCTAACTACCCTGCCTTGCCAGTAAAACATTGGTCACTAATCGCTTACAATTACCACCTTAATTCCACCAGTTCCACCTTAAAAAAACTAAGAAAATATAAATTAGCTTGAGGTCATGTGGGAGGAATGCATCAAATAGCATCTCCCAAGTGTCTTATTGAGAGTAATGGTTAGCCCTGGGTCTTGGTTGAACTTGTGTCTATGAGTAATGCCATTAATCAGGTATTCAAATGCAGTATTAGCTGGTATAAAGGCTACAGGAGTGTCAGGCATATACTTCACACTAAGTTGGCACTTATGGGACTATAAACGTGGCAGAAATAACATTAACTTTAAGAGACAGGGCTTAGTCATACCAACTAAATGGTTTATATGGTAAAATATTCAGTCCAAAATACACAGTTCCAAAAGTTTTTCTCTCATCGGCTGCTCTCTTATATTGATACTAGGGATGTAACGATATCCAAATCTCTCTGTACAATATTATCACGATACACATCTCACATTATGATATTTTTTGCTTTTAAAATAACATGACAGGATTCTGGTGTGAATTATTTCCATCATAATCCAAAGAATTCAAGTAAAAAGCATTTATCTTCATGTTGTTTGCACTGAAATGAAGTTCCCTATGTTTATAAGCTGTTGCTACTTTAAGACCCTGCATTTAAGCAAAGGAACTTGTAATTCTATATATTGTGACAGCCCATGATATTATTGTGAGACTTTTGACGATACAATATCACGGTATTTCGGTTATTGTTACATCCCTAATCGATACACTTTTATGTCACATGCCATTGCTAAGTAGAATTGTGGTTGAAATGTTTGACCTGCTGCACGCTGTCCTTGTTCCAATGAGTAGGAAATCAACAATCAGAAAGTGTGCTAGTGGGTGAAAATATTCTTCAAAATGTCTGTTATGTATGTAGAGATGTAAAATGGATATCCTGAGGTATAGATAACTGATATGACTTGGTGAGAGCTTGTACCACATTGTTTCCATTAAAATCAAGTCTTCTCAGCACATGCCGTCTGCAAATAGCTCATAAAACACCTGATACCTTGGCTATTTATACCTTGATATCATCAACATTCCCTGGGGATATGATGCTAACTGTAGGAATACTCTGCCTGAGGCTTTGTTAGACTAAATTTGAGCTTTGTTTTAAGACAGTCTGACCATAAAGAAGTGATTTAGCTGGAACTACAACAGTGGAGCTAATTTGTGTCCCAAATACCTTTACAGTCACAACCTAGCCAGCATTAGCCAGTTTTTCAGTTTGAAAATCAAACACATTGATTGTACTGTTCAGAGTCCTGAAAATTAGTTGTTTAAATCCATTTTGTACTTTTTCTTGAGTTTTCAGACTACCTTGACACTTTTTTTTGGCTCTGTGGCTCTTTTTTAGTCACTGTGGTGACTACAGAAACATTCTACCACAAAAATAAATATAAACACCCCCAGCATGATGCCACTGCAAAATATCAATAGAATTTCATATAATGTCATTGTTGATTCGTTTAATACATCTTTAACAATTTAAGCTAAAATCTCAAAGAAAAAGATCAATGCATTGCCCATAATACCACGTGTGGTTTGGCTGTAGCCTGAAGTCCATAAGCAGCATTGAACTCTGATAGTAAAAGCAGCTGGTTATTGGTATAAAAGAGCCAATAAAAAGACCAGGGGCAGTGTGGACAACCAGATGAGAGCATTTCAGTCCACAGTATAACATTTAGACCTAATGGTAGCCTGTTTTTTCCACCATCAAACAACCTCTGGACCAAAGCCTGACCATGCAGCAATGCCATTACTATCCTCCCCGTTTTAAACCTCAAAATGGGCTCCACACCAACCCAACTCTGCAAAATGCTAATTCAAACACATGGTAGAGATGTCTGTGCTAACTTACAGAGGTATTATCACTATATTATATGACTACTGGGAAGTTAGCTTTGAAGGTTGTCAGAAAAAAAGGAGTTCTGGCAGCTATAGGCTAAGGTTGGACGGTACAGTAAAGAGCAGAGTGGACTAATGGCTGGTCGAATGGATTCTGTGGTGTATGGAGACCCTCTGGGGAAAAACTTGGATTTCAGTTGAAGCTGAAGTCATAGTTGGAAAGAGTTAGTGCTAAAATTACAACAAAAGTAAAGTGGCAAGAATATGGTCAAGGCAAAGCTTAATTTAACATTAAACTAGCAAACCTTGCAGAAGCATATTTCCAATAACTCAGTCTTAAAATGACAATACCAAACCAAATATTGGGTGTTGAATATTTCTGGGTTTGTCGTGACATCAACAAATTATAAAAGTCCTAGGTTTTATTTTTAATTGCAGGAGCTACTAAAATGATTTTGTGAGATCCCAAATAGAAGGATCATGTTACCTAGAATAATACTTGTCCATACTCTCCATCCTCATTAATACAGCATTACATAAAATATCAAATATCAAAAAATATAATGGGGTGTGGGGGATTGGTACCTTAAAATCTTTGTAAAACACTTGCTCAGACCAATCTTGTATCCAAAATTTCCAATACTTCAACATGAATATAAAAACCTCTCAAAACCAGAGCAGAGATTACCAAGCAAAGAAAGAAAAAGCAAAGAAAGGAGATGAATTTGTTTTTTTTCTATAACAGGAAACGTCTGTTATGCATAAGAATCATAAATAAACTGTATTCAAACCAAACACTGAATTTCCCCAGCTACCCTCTAACATATTTCTCCATTCAAACAACTCCCCCACCCCCACAATTTCTGACAGCCCCTAAACGCCTCACGCACCCACCAGCCCACCGGCCCACCAGCACTTTATTGAGGGGCGAGCCTTGCCACGGGACATTACGTCACTGCTGAAAAGAGGCAGCTCAGCGCGGCAGATGTCGTCTTTGTCCAAACACTGCAGTCGGCTGACCTGATCCTGACAATGAGCAAACCATCATACAATTATGTCGCCCCCGTGAAAGACCGGAGCAGCCCAAGAGTGGAGAGGGGAGAGAGGGGGGAGAGGGGCGGCGCTACGAGGGGTGTGAAAAGGCTAGTGGGAGGTCCTCTACTTTGAATGTTTCAAATGGGACTTGCTAAACTAACCTTCATTGAAAAACTGGTCGTGTATAAAACAAATAAACGTCAAATTGTTGCATTTATCACTGTTTAAGGACATTCATAGCGCTTTAAATAAATTCATACTCAAACGCACTCAAGTCTTGTCTTTAATATGCAAAATGTGTACAAAGACAACAGAGCTAAAGCTGGTAACGTGTCTTGCTTATGGATACAAAGGCAATATGCAATGAGTAGATTACAGATAAAAATGACAACTTAAATATCATCTCCTAGAACTTGTGGTGCACTAACTTTTTTGGAGAGGGGGCTTGTACTTGCTTATCTGCATGAAGATCCTATTGCTTTGCCTGAAATGTTCCACAGTACAGCATTAAACTATTCTAATTTTGTATTTTGTATACCTTAAAAACATAAATCCTCACTATAAGCTGAGTCACTTCACTCCACAGTTCTGACCTGTAACGTAATATGGCATTACACAAACAGGAGGTGCTTGTGTTATACTGAGTAATATTTCAGGCAAAGCATTTACATCACCGTGGAAACAAGAAGGAGGCAGACCCATCACAGTGCACCTTTAACTTATTGCATAATGTCAATGAAACTGCAAAAAGTTCAACATAAAGGCATTCTCGGCAGGATCTATGGCAGCTGTCAACTTTG